AGATGCCACTACACATCAACTTCATTTATTATGAGAAGGCGTTCGACAGTGTAGATAGGAAAACGTTATGGAAAATTCTTCGACACTACGGAGTTCCTGAGAAGATTGCCAACATTATCCGGAACTCATACGACGGACTACAGTGCAAAGTAGTGCATGGAGGACAGCTGACAGACGCATTCCAAGTAAGGACCGGAGTTAAACAAGGCTGTCTACTCTCAACCTTCCTCTTTCTTGTGGTGGTCGACTGGATTATGAAGACCTCGACATCTGAGGGAAAACATGGCATACAATGGACAGCTCTGAACCAATTAGACGATTTGGACTTCGCAGATCACCTAGCCCTCCTATCCAATACACACGAACAAATGCAGATAAAGACAGCCAGCATAGCAGCAATCTCTGCATCAGTAGGCCTCAACATACACAAAGGGAAAACCAAGGTCCTCAAATACAGCACGGAGAACAGCAATCCAATCACACTTGATGGCGAAACTCTGTAAGATGTAGAATCCTTCACATACCTGGGAAGCATCGTCGATGAACAAGGAGGTTCAGATGCAGACATAAAAGCGAGAATTGGCAAAGCAAGGACAGCATTCCTTCAATTGAACAACATATGGAAGTCAAACCAACTGTCAACCAATATCAAAGTCAGAATCTTCAATAAGAACGTCAAGGCAGTTCTACTGTACGGAGCTGAAACTTAGAGAAGTACAACAACCACCATCAAGAAGGTACAAGTATTTATACATAGCTGTCTACGCAAGATACCCAACATCCATTGACAGGATATCATCAGCAACAGCCTTTTGTGGGAGAGAACCAACCAGCTTCCAGCTGAAGAAGAAATTAGGAAAAGACGATGGAAATGGATAGGACATACATTGAGGAAATCATCAAACTGCATCACGAGACAAGCGCTAACTTGGAATCCTGAAGGGAAGAGGAAAAGAGGAAGGCCAAAGAACACATTACGTCGGGAAATAGAAGCAGATATGAAAAGGATGAATAACAAGTGGGAAGAGCTGGAAAGGATTGCCCAGGCCACGGTTGTATGGAGAATAATGGTGAGCGGCCTATGTTTCTTCACGAGGAGCAACAGGCGTAAGTGAGTAAGTAATCTATCCATGGACTATGGAGCTTATCCATCTGCATAGAAAGTACGGCGTACCACATCTAGATTCACAACGCAATTGTGTAGTGATACTGCGAATTTTGGACTCAATTATTCTAAACTCGTGCCACCAAAAATTACGGAAAAATTAGTCCACAAACAGGTACTACCATTTCTGATTTTGGCAAACTTAATTGAGCCATCTCAACATGGGTTTGGCACTGCACACTCACGCTTCCCATCTCACTTGGAATTTTTCGATCACATTAAGTCAAACCTTGTCTTCATTTATCAGCTTACAAACAGTATTTCTTATTCTTCGGCATCCACTGCCTCATAGTTAAACGTATCACCTCACAACCTGCATAATAAAATAAAGTGAATATTCTATCGATTCCGAGAATCTACACAAACTTACGCCTGAACTACTTCGTTATTCTCTATTCAACCATGTGGGAAAGACTCCCAGTAAACCTCTGTTGCATTGAAATTATAACCAGGCTAAAAGTCTCCTTGGCGACTTTCTTTCTGGGAGTGATTTGTGTTACCTACCAAGTATCACTGAGGTTAAGGATGATTTATACAATAAGGTACAATATCTATCTAATTGACTGTAAAACAAGATGTAATATTTTAATATATGCCCGTTTATTTTCTTTTCTTTTCTTCCTTTCCATTTAAATATCAGAAGTTTGCTTATGCTCATATTTATCAGTATTCTTGTTATTACTATCATGATTGATTATCTGAAAAACTAGAAATTCTCTTCTTCATTTTATTTCATAACATCCAAAGTTTACAGCTAAAAACACATTATCGTGCGCTACACATAAATAAATAAACCTTTCAGATTCATTTTCTCATCACGTATATATGGTCCATACAGACTGATATTTGACGATTATTCTCTGCAGTTAATTAATTCATTATTTAAGCTATTGTATCATAGACTGTTGTTCTACCGTTTAATTTTATCATATTGATGATCTACTTTTAATTCAACTTGTAATGCATATTCATAACATGCAGGTAACTTCTAAAATATTGAGTGAAGACGGATTTGTTCACTCTGGCCAACAAAACTTTGTTGTTCTAATCCAGAGAAGCTAGTTCATCAGGTAGTCAAGTAGGCCTGCGTTGGTATCGGTTCTCAACACAGCAACCCTCGGAGAGCTGAGAAGATTCATATTCAGTATTTAACGATAAAGAAGTTCAGAAATTGTAAACGCCGGAACGTCTAGTCGCATTGTATATTTCGTTTATGCTACTGTGGTCACTTGATATGACGTCGTCACTTTCAAACTAAATATATTGTTTTATCCCTAACCTAAGCATGTTCTTCGGAAGCCCTTAACACCATATCGTTGAGTGTCATGATAGGACGAGCCAGTGTATACGATGATGTGGCTTCAGCGTATTATCGCGAAGATTAGATTGCCACATGACAGATCCATGGTTTTGAGATGAAATATTGAGTCAAATTACTAAAGGCAAATGCACATATTATCGAACATTATGGACTGGATGTTACATAATTTCAATAAGTATTAGGAGGAAATCCATCTTCAGGTAGTTCCTATACTGGTAAGGCTAGCGTTCTCTGGAAATCTTGGTGTCGTATGTGAGTTTCTTATCATCTAGGACGATACCTTGGTTCGAAGGATGTGTGAATCATTCTGATATGACCTGATTACTCTGGTCGATCCCGCGTGTCAAAGTCACTAATTAGAATTCTATTTATAAATGTTTCTGTTATGTACCCAATATTTTACATGCAGACTAGTGTCTCAGATATAAATCTGATTTAAGTAGTTAACCACGAGGGTAGGATCCTATTTTATAGTCAAGATCAATCACGATTTAAACTCATGCAGTAATACTCAGAAAAATCCGGACCACAGTTCAGCATAATTAAGTGATAACAGTAGGGGACTAAGCGCATCTCAAATGGAAGAGAAAATAATATCAGATTAGTAGTAAATTAATTATAGCTTCAAAAGTGCCTAACATGAAGCGACAGTTTATGCATCTCGGAAAAGCCTGTGTTGAATCCTAGTGAAAGAACACATTCAAGGTATGACAATACTCAATGTTGTCAGCGATATACCAAAAAAAATTAACAGTACAAACTGAAGTATGTGTTTCCGAGTAAAGCAAAGTGGCCACACGTAGCACTTACAACAGAATGGTATAAAGCGAAATGATAACAACTGTTATGAAATGACTGTTACCTGTAGGTTTTATCAAAGACAAAAATTACAAATGTGTTCACCCGATTATCTAAGGTCTCTTTATATCTGGTAGCACCGACGGCTTGACGAGAAATATAAATCTGAAGGAATTATCCAATGATAATTCGAGACAAAATTCTAACGTAGCGCAGAATGTTATGAACTTATCGTGATGTTCAATTAAAGTAGAGAAATGGACGATGGAGTTTATTTGAATAACAACGATAGGGTGTGTATTAAAACAGCCAAACCATTATGCCCGTTTTTAAGAATGATAAAAAGAAATGACAGATACTGAATATAAATGTATAAGGTGTCATAACTTACTTACTTATTTACGTCTAATACACCTCGTGAAGGAGCATAGGCCGCTCACCAGCAGTCTTTATACGAACCTGTCCTGGGCAGTCCGCCTGTGGCTCTACTAGAATTATAGCCGGTCCCAGGCCTGGGTAAAGGAGGGGGTTGGGCATGGGGTTATCGGCCCTACTCCGTAGAAAACTAACTCGCTAAAAAGACGCTAACCAGAAAAATTATTTCAAATTATTTAGATGTCGTAAACCAAGAAAATATATGGTCTTTACGACTTGAAAAACTCCCTCAGGACTAAAAAACTCAGAGTTGTGACAGAATTAAAAATTATCTATCAAGTAATCCCTGTGTGATCTATCCGGAAATGATAAAATAACATTCCTGAATTGAATGAATGACCTATTTGTTTCACTTGACTGCTGATCAAACAATTATTGGTCGAATAACTGGGTGATAATATTTTTTAGGTAATGATGTACAACCAACTTTATAATGAAATTTAGAACCGTCACTTACCAAGCTACTTTGTTTGGCTTTCGACCGTCTGATAGCCCATATCTGAACTAACCTAAATAGTAATCCCTTATTTCAAACCGCTTTTGTTTGTGAGCGAAGTTTCCTCTTCTTTTTCTGGTCAGTGATATTTGTGCTATATTTATTCTTAGGCGAAAATTTTGCACATGTCAATGCTTTCTTTACATTCTTTCATCTGACCAGATAGCGTTATGTACTCTATCAGGATAGATGATATGAAGGATTTGATAAACTGACTCATGATAAAGATGCATCTCAAGCTGATTAGTTTAATGTTGAATATTTAGAGTAAACACTCTCAAAAAATGACAATGAAATTATTTGTGTGAAAATCTCTGAAATTTTAAGTAAATCCGACGTTTCAACAGACAAACCGGTACAAATTTTTCAATAGATTATAATTGAACGTCAGATCTACTTAAGGTTCAATCGCTAAAATTTTCACAAGTGCAGCTTACATCCTCTGTGTGTTGCAATAACCCGTAACCCAACTACTGTGATTCTATTCCTCCCGAAACCTTATTTGAAACCGTAATAAAGACACAAAAATGAATGATATAATCACACGCATATATATCCATTTTTCTGGGTAAAATAACTGAAAACCATACTTTTCTTACTTTTCATGGATTGTACCTTGAAAGCGTTTGAGCTAGTTATATCGCGGCTATTTCAAGAAGTTTGCAGGTGATTTTTTTTTTGTTAAGTTGGTGTAAGTTGACAACAAACACTGGAAACCATGATGTCTTGTTTGCCTCAAAATGAATAAAAACATCAATGTATAGTAGTATTGTGGATTTTATATAATGGATTATGCTAACAGCAGTCTTGATCCTGAGGTTCTTGAGTTCTATCGTCCAAACAGGTCAAAGCACATTCGTTGCCATTCTCATCATCACACACATCAGTTTGTCCATCCCAGGCGCCCTCACAATTCCCAGCCCGTTAACCAGACACAACTGTCAATAACACCATACAACAAAAATTCTAATTATGCAACTCCTAACATTCATCATGGGAACATGGCAAATTTTCATCACCACCGACCTCAGCTCCAGCCCCATGTTGCTCATAAACAGCATACGGAGCATTATCACTATCATCTAAATCAAAATGCATACAGGTCTTCTGTGAGTCCTCAAAATCTCGGGAGTACTTGCGGGGGAAGTGTAAATGCACTCACATCAACTAGCGGTGTTAGCAGTAATTCTGGTAGTTTGTGTACTAGCAGCAGCTCTCATTCAAGCCACAAATCTGGCACTAGTCTTCGTGCAGTAGATCTTATTCCTTTATTGAAGAAAAAAATCGCACTTTTACCTGGTGGTAGGTCGAGAAGAGGCGGACCCTTATTATGTTTTCCTTCCAATTCACGGGCTGATGAAATCCCCATTGAAGACTTGTATGTCCTCGTCAGGTATCTCACTTACCTCCCTGACGACAAAGTCAAGAGGTTGGGGTTTGTAGTGATAATCGATATGCGAAGTGGGACTACTTGGCACAGTGTCAAACCAATTTTGAAAGTAAGTTCATTGAGTATTCAGAACTGATTATGATCTAGGTACTAGAAGAATGTCTTGGTCAAGATGTAACCTTGACTTTCATAATTAAACCTGATAAGTTCCTTGAGAAACACAAAGCTCAGCTGGCGAGTGGAAAGTTCAGTTTTGAAATACAATTAGTGTCTGTGGAGTCTTTGTTTCGTGAAGTTGATCCTAGCCAGTTAACTTCTGAAATGGAGGTTAGTTTTGCATTTTCAAAACAATTATGGCATCTTAACTATGTATGATACATGGTATATCCCATTCGTGCTTGCTATTATTCCTCATATATTATTTTAAACATTACGGCTCCATCAATCTATAGATAGTTATTCCTCAAACTTTCATAGACTTGTGTTGAACATTTTGTTAAGTTTTTCATCTTGAATTTTGTATGAAATTGCCACTCTCCAATATTGTCGAAAAGAAATTTATCCTCGCCGAATTATATTTTCAATCACACAACGGGTTCCTACTAGTTATTTCCTTATGTCCTCTCGGTACACTGAATCTTATAGTTTCCGTTATCGCTTAGTATATACTGTCGTTAAAGTACTGGGGCTTCGGGCATCAGGTTTTCCACTCCATCTGATTTGTTATTGAGAACCAGGTAGTGTTAACCTTCAAAAGTGGGTATTATACCTGATTATAGGAATCTTTGCTCAGTTGCCTAGTTGCGTCACTGATTGAGTAAGTGCTATGAGTTTGTTTTCCATGATTTGATCTTGCTGATACTTGAAAGACCATGAGTGCTTAAAACTTGTAAGTTAGCAGTCACCTTAAAGTTTAATTTGTCAACATTTTCATCCACATTACTCACACGTTAGTTTATGCAGTTTCACATGCCAGTCGCAAGACAACATTAATTTAAAATTACATTTAATTTCACTATTTACGAGCAGTGGTGCTTAGTATTTCCGGTTAACTTTCTGGATTTTTTAAAGTTAGACCTTAACACCGTCGGGTGCTGACTCACTGGTCTAGAGGTTGAGTTTTCGTGCGAGACCGAAGGTCCTACGTTTAGGACTGTGGACGCTCACTGCTGAAGAGTCCCGTGCTGGGACAAAACGACCGCCCACTGCTTCCAGGTTTCCAGTGACGTTCTGACGTTGATCAGTTCATGATATGTGATCATCATTTTTAGATGTACAATAAAAATGCACTTCATATGTGGATAATTAAATATCCAACAAATAAAACTGAATTTCAGATAGTGATTAGTCTCACGATTGGTTTTATAGTAATTGTGTAATTTATTTAAATGTTTAAAGGGAAGTCTTCCATATCATCATGAAGAGTGGATCAAAATTCGTTGCTGTCTCGAGGAATTCTTTTTATTTGCAAATGATATGTCAGACAAGTTTGGTCAGCTTTATTGTTTTTTGGATAGAAAACCCAATCCAGAATCTGTTGACGAAGCTAAACGTGCTTTAGAAGAGCACAGATCAGTACGTCTGAAGGTGAGTTATTATCCTGCATGTTATTATGACAATTGATACTGTCGTTGACTTTTCTGAGAATATTTTCAACATACTTGAACAATTTTCTCCGTACTGCTATTTCGAACACTGATTTTTATTGCTTCCTTTAGTTACGTGGTTCCTCAGTCATTTCCTTTTTATTAAATCATCCTTTTTATAGATTGTTCAAGCTCCGGTCCCAGCTCTTGAAGCAGAAGCTGATCGATTAACATCATGGTTACGTTATGGTATAACTGCATCACAATCTAGTGCCAATGCGTCCTCTGTGAATTCTAGTTCTCAAACATGTTCTATTACTACTGCATCCGGTGGTGGTGCATCTTTTCTTGCAACATCATGGGTATCTATGAATCCTGATTTCCAGCAGGTAAGAAAAAAGCCTCCTCTGATTTTTCAGATAAATTACTTCTGTTGCGATACTTCTGTATTGCTTTATAAATATTTAGTATGGCTTTTGAATATAGATGGCATGGTTCACACAGTAGTCGTAATTTGTAATTGGAGGTAGGATAATGCTTTTCGAAATCGATCACGGATGTCTTCATATCTTACACTCTTTATATTCATATTTTTAACAAATCTACTCTGTTTACATTCTAATTTCCTGCATTTTCGAACTATTTAATTTTCCATCATTAAGATTGATACAACTATAATTTTCCATCTAATATATCCTCAATTTTCGTCGTTTTTTATTTTTATTTTATTTTAACACATAGGTATTGGTACAAGGAGGCACCAAATACTTATGCGCCACACGAATCTCAATTGATTTGTGTGAGGGCTGTGATACTGCCCGGGTGCCCAAACCGAGGCAGGTGGTTTTCTTAGGGGGCCACACCCCCAGCCTTTGACCTGAACGTCTGATCCACAAGGCAGTGGAGCATCGTAAGGAGATGCAGTCCCATGGTATTCGGTGATCAACGAATGGTTCATACTTCATTTGTTCCTTCAGGATACTGGAGCCCATGTGCACCATTGATTTGGGATCGGGTTAAAGCGCCAGACATTCGCTTTTCGTCCTCTCATTTTCGTAAACAACACCCCCGCCACGTGAAAGCAGTGAGTAGGACTTCCCTGGCAGGGGCTATATACGCATGGCCATGTGATAGTATTTCGAGAGGGAGAGCGGACTCTCCCCACTCTCGGCCTTTCCAGGGCATTTGGGGGCAATTTTCGTCCTTAATATCGTTGATGCTTATTTAGTCTCTTAATTCTAGTTTTTTTGATTTCCTCTCTATGTGCTTATGTGAAATGTGGCAACTTGGGACAATACATATTTGTTTTAGACCATAAATTGTCTGTGATTGAATGACTAACTGATAGGCGTAACGAGTGTGTTTTAATGATTATCAGAAATGTTATTGCAAGACATTGTAGATTTTACTTTTACATGAAATAATCTAGGGTTTTAAAACAAATGTCATCACCTTTTCAGTTTAAAAAGATTTTCAGTTTGACTTTTTATAAAGTACATCTTACCAAACTATTTTTGACACAATAAATCATTATTAGTTTGCTGATTCATATTCTCCGCCTATACAAATGTAGGTTTAAAGTCAAGACATGATATATTGTCTTCATGCTTTTAACTTATTTCACTGTTTATGACCCCTGCCACTAATATTAAACATTTCATTGATTATACATTTAAATGTTTCCGAAGTGGAATAACTGATTCTACGTGTTCGATAATTACAAAGTACTCATTCTTATCGTTCATTAAAATCAGAAGTACTTCACTTTCATACTGGTTAAATTGAGCAATTCTTCCTAATAAATATCAATTTTTATAACAAACTCTCAAACCTTACGGCCCAGAACGCTAGTCTTAACCATTATGCCACCAGTGTTCAGAGCATTTAAGTGAAATGGCTGAAAATTGTTTGCAGTGACATAGGTGCATTCACCCTTCTCTTACATCTTTAGTTTATAAATCAGCTTCATTCTACTAATCCATATTTTCTTGAGTCGTACGTTCAGTGTCTAATTTAATTTTTTTTACCATTAATACTGTTACTATGTCTACTACTCTGAGATTTACGTTGATAACTTCATGTCGTTGTGCTAATGGGTTGTGGCAATTTTAATCAATGTACAGGCTGTATTTCATTTAACTGATTGACTTAGTTTTTATAGCGATCTTCATTCATTTTATTACTGTGCAGTGTTGATTTATATCGAACTCATTCTTTATTTGAATATTTCTTAATTTTAAACTGCATATAAACTTATAAGTTCGGATTGGTAAAATTAGCTACAAATGCTGAAGGTTATTTTCCATATTGTTTGATTTTGTTTTAGAGTTACTTGGATCTACAAACAAAATTTCAATAAGCTATTCTGTTTTTGTATAGTTTTTGAACTCTGTCATCTTTTCAGCCTTAATTTTTTTCTTCTGTTTTTGTATTTAGTTAGTTCCTCAGGTTCGGCATACCGTCTCACAACTTTATGAATTTCGTACTCGTCTTCAACAGAAATGGGAAGCTGGTAGATCACGATTAGAACAAATATATCAACTACGGTTATTTGATGAAGATGCTAGAGGAATGTCTAATTGGATAGACCAACAGCGTCATTTGTTTCTCACAGAGTATTTAGATATTGGTCAAACAGCGTCACATGTAATTCCAATAAAAAATTGCTTATATTTTATTAGAATAATGGCTTTCATATTGATTGTACTTATAGATGGATTCACTTTCTATCCTAAAATCATATACTAAGTGACCTTTCTTGATATTTGAAATTTTTGTGACACATCTATCAAGAAGTCGGTTTTATGATTGAATTTGTATATGTTTTTCTATAAACAAAAAATATACTGATTTCCTACTGTGTATCATCTTTAAGACTGATATACACTTTCCGGCTTTTTTTTTAATACTAGGCTGCTGATCTACACGCTGAACACCGACAATTTCTTTCCAAGTGTAGTAGTGTCCGAGAACAAGTTGCTCGTCTAACAGGAGTTGCTGGGATGTTAGCTGATACTGGTCATTTTGCTAGTCAACAAATTTTAAAACAGGTATGTATGTGTTTATCCTTTTTCTTGTTACATAAGAAAAGTAAAGTAACTTTTCACTAAGTTACATATTTCCTTTTGTATAAATAATACTTAACATTAGTACACTTAATACTAAATAATATTTATATCTTACCTATATGTTTATTCATATTTATATTCTACCTAGGCACTATGTTGTTATAAGCTACTACTCGTAGATTGGATGATAAACAAATTAAACGTAAGACCAAAACAAAAATACATCTCCGTATTATTTCCAATTGATTATATTATAAATATAAATCACATTTATATCTTCCAATCTATAATAATCTCATTAACTTACTTATTAAACTAAAGGTTGAAAGAAGTAATTAGCTTTTTTTTGCAATGTTAGGTATTATGATATTCATTATAGTGAATGACTTGAAAATTATCAAAAAAAAACAAAACAAAACAGACAGGTAAAAAAATAGTTTGGAAGAAAATGATTGAGAATGTAAGTAAATCATTTTTTCTTTAGTGATTTCAAAAGTGTACATGTATATTTCTATTCAACTCATGTCCACGCTTCTGATCACAATCAGAAGTATTACAAACTTTTATATAGTAGATTTTGATTTACAATTGACAAAGCTAACCTTCCTAAGATTATTAAATTAGTATTTGATTATAGGTGTCTTCGAAACATTGCTCGTATATCTTGGGATTATCGAGTAAGTAATGCAGTTTTTAAGAAACGGGTAGTAGGTAAGGATGGTAAATCAATTAATGAAGTAGTGAAACTTCATCAGTTGAGATGGCTGGGATATGTGTTGCACATGCCTGACCACCGACTGCCCCGACATGCGTTGTTTTATGGTGTAGGAGTAGGTTGGAATAAAGCTAGGGGCGGCCAGATCAAAACACGACACAAATCCATAAAGTCACTGACAAGTGGATTGAGCCATGTTGGTAGGTGTAGACTACCTGGTTGGGGACCGCGAGACGATAGCAACTGATGGTTAGAGATCTTGAATGACATGGTTCAAAATCGTTTGCAATGGCGCAGGTGCTTCGGTCTGGGTACCCGGGCAGTATCACAGCCCACACACAAAAATTTGTGTGGCGCATATATATTTGATGCCCTCTTGTACCAATATTTATGTGTTCAAATAAATAATGTAAATAAAAGTGCATCCACTCTGTGTTTTCCCAAATTCTAATCTTCTGAATTCTTCAAGTCCATCTTTTTTCTCTTTCCAAATGTGTATCACTGTATTATACACCTTGAATAACATCTTCAAACCCTAATGTTTCCGATTACTGTTTATACTTTTACTACCTCTAGCACTATGGGATGTGAATCGACAACTGTATCTCTGTGCTAATGTGGTATGGCAACTCGAACTGATGTACGTACGTACGAAGTTCCACGTTGTTACTGACTTACTGACTGACTGAAGATTATTAAACTACTGTCAAGTTAACTGAATGGAAGCATTTAGAATATAGTAGTCTGTTTTTATATAATTTTCCAGAAAATTTAATTCTTTATTCAAATAAGTCGACACATTCTGAACGAAAATCAATCGGCTCTCCTCTTTTATGGACAGGTTGTCTTACTAGGTTTTGGGCTATATTTGTATTTTTCAAATGTTTAACTTAGTGACTAAAGGACGATCATTTAAACAATCGAATTGAAATTTTATCTATGAAATTAATTTTATAAGGTAAACACTCAAAGAAAGATTTATTTTATTTTATTTTTTTGTAAATTAACAATACATTTTGGTCTATGTATGTATTAGTGTTTGATTTTACGTTATGTACATACCGACATCGTATCATAAACTTTCAGGTTTAAATCACATTCCGTCTATTTGAATTATTGTAGTTCAATATAAACAATAAACTGGTCTGATGACCTAATAGCGGCATAAATAAAAAAAATGGTTCATGGTATTTCTTCTATTTGTGATTTAATTGATACATAAATTGTTCAACCAAATGTATTTGAGTATATATTTTGCACTCAGTCTATACTACTACTACTACTACTATTGCTATAAAGAGTAACATTTAACTACTTAAAATTTGTTTAAATATCAAATATATAGGCTAACCAATTAGAACATGAATGGAAATCGTTTACTGCAGCATTAGAAGACCGTTCTCGTGTTTTACAACTATCAGCCAGTTTTCATGCAAGAGCTGAATCATTCTTAGCTAATTGTCCACACTGGGAAAGTGCTATGCGTCAAGTCAATGGTACATCTGTCCATGAATTAAATCAAGCTTTGATCACATTACAAGTAAGTTTGTTTTCTAAAATATTTCTATGACAAAGTGAACAGTGATAATAGTTTTAATTCATATATGATGCAAGGCTAGTAGATATTTTAGATTATTGAAAATTCAGTCCTTGTTATCTCGAATTTCCATGCATATAGCTTTATTAAATAATCTAGGGTTAGACATTTATTATAAATGGGACTTATTAATGTTTAAGAAAGTATACTAATGTACTAAACATTTGTTGTAGGATCTGAAGATTCTAGGTTCAATCCCTTTTTGAAGTATTGGGTCTTCACTTATCTTCAATGGTAATAACTTGGCAAATTTCCAATGCCTTATTATCATTGTTTTAGTTATACAATACCGGAAATTCGCAAAAATTAACGAAATATTTCTTTTACTTTATAGACAATAATTAACAGTATTGGAATGTCACTTCAAATGTGTAGTGATCTAAACGTATTGACTTTCCTAACTTCTGTTGTTACATTTCCTGTATATTATTGTTTTTCGGTATTTTCCATACTTGTCTTTGATTTATCTCATTTAGCGTATAACTTATTATAGTTTCTACTTTTGACATTATTTTATTCACTCTGTTTTCTTTTCATCATATTATACTTGTGATAAAGTCTTGTATTTTTAGTTACCAGTCGTTATTTTATATTGTTCTGGTTTATCTGTAGTGTTTCCTAATATTTTCATTTTATATCGTTTATTCTCTTGATTAGTAAATTTATTCATTCGTTTTTAGTTGTTGGATTACTTGTTTGAACTTTATTCTTATTTTTTCCTAATTTTATACACTTTAATTGTAACCCGACCGTTGTTGTTACTTTGATGTGGTGGTCGGGCTTACCTATTATGATGAACTAATCGAGCTATACTGGCTGGGAAAGTCGTTTCTCAAGGTCCTACCATGCCAAAAACGTCGGTTGAAGAGCGAGCGGTAAGACTAAAAGCAGCAAACTAAATGTTCGAAGGCTTAGTCGTACTTCTGACTGTACAGAGTTCTGATAGCAGTGGGGTGTTTCCTTCAGATAACCATCATGACAGTGATGCTTCCTTCCCACAAGAAAGGCTGGTGTTAGAAAAGGTCGACCCAAAAAATGCACACCTCGCCTTATCCCACAGACATCCGTCTTCGGCGGTAAGGTCTCAACAAGTACGAAGCTAACCCAAAAATTACTCAAAAAAGGTCGTGTGTGACCGACCTCAAGCAGTTGTCCCTTGGGCACTGCGTTCACACTCTCAGGTCACTAAAACCACCTCTAATCCAATTTTCTTCCCAGGTACCTCCAGAAGAACCCTTCCACGGTGTGGGCAACTGGGAAGTGATAACCGCCCTCATACCTTTAACAGCCCTCAAGATCACTGTATTCATAATCAACTTCCCTCATTAATTGTGACTCAAGATAGGGTAAACATATTTATATTTGGTCATCTAGTTTTATGTAGTCCGTAAATTGGCTAATAAACAGCATATATAATCGTATATGTGAACTGTTTAAATTAAAATTTTCACTGTAGTTTAAGAAATTTATCAAATCATGTTTTATGAACACTTATGTATTGTTTTAAATTCTTGTCAAGGATAAATTTGTTTTACTTCCTTGTTTATTTCTTTTACTGTTACCTTAGTTACTATTAAAATTAGCATAATGTAGGTGCTTTTTTCATTGTATTGTAAAATTGAATTTTTGTTAGATAACTGAAATTCAACAATCAGCCCTGATGGATTGATGTTGTCAGTTAGTTTTATTTTACTTTTCTAATTTTTCAATTTATTCCTTGTTAAAAACTTGTACACCATCAATATTGTCTTTCTTTTTTATTTTTCTTCTAAAAAAAAATGGTGTACTGCAGGAATATTGGCAAGAAGCACAATCTGCTCATGAAGAAGTTTGTGCTGATGGTCGAGCACTTGCTAATCATTTAAGTTCACCTGTTCCTACCGGATCGCATACATCTTTAACAGCTGCTGTCGACTACTCACAAGGTCGAAAACATTGTACAGATCTTGTTCACGAGGTAAGTTGTTCATTTTATATGTCATTTTAACCTAATTTTTATTTTTCCCATACAAAGTAGTATTTTTTCTTGCAAATAAATTCTTTTTTTTTTTTTTCTGATTATTTCTCCTCTCATCCTTTTTTAGTTGATGTGTTCAAACCGTGATTCATTCATCAAAGTTTCGGTAGATTAGCATATAGATACCTGGTTTATGATTCATAAGCATAGAAAACACTTAAATTTGAAAGATTTTATATGATCCTTTACGTCATGTCTCGTAAATTGGTCTCAACGGTATTTATATAAAATGTTTTATGTTGAAGTACAATTGATTTACATTCTTACTGTGTTTCATTTATTCTTCTTAAGCTGTTCAAGTCGTATTAAAGAGTTTGTTTTAACTTAATCTTTCTTTAATTATTCAAAAGAATGACATATCATTTCTTTTTTGTTATTTACTTCTTGAGAACGGTTGATAATGTAATGCTTCATGAAGGATTAATTTTGGTAGGTCTGGTGTATTTTCTTTATCTCTTACCACATGATGTTGAAAATATTTTTCATTGTTCAGTAGTATCCTCAGCCATTTTATCGTAAGTAGGTTTTCTTTTTTTTTTTTTTTGCTATGTGAATATATTATTATGTTGACATGTTTGTATAGTCTTATGTTTGAACTATTATATGATAAAATTGCCTATTGTGATTATTGTTCTCAATAAATTACACATAGATTTGGGCTTGGTTTAAACAATTAGAACGTGTTTTCGGTGAACGTCGACGTCGTCTTACATCACGCTTAGCATTATTAATGTTTAAAGAAGATGTTGGTCAAGTGTTAGCTTGGTTAACCGAACATGGAGAACCATTTTTACAGCGCCAAACATCTGTAGGCAAATCTATTCAACGAGCAGAACAGTTATATAGTGCACATATGCAATTTGAACAGGTGAGAATGGTTTCTTTCATTTTGGTGACTTATTATGACACATTTTTATTATTTATTGATATGATACTAAGCACTTTCTGCGTTGCAAACATCGACAGAATGCTGATCAATTAATATGATTACTGGCAAGACTAGTTTATTAATGCAAGTACTCGAACGAACTTATGTCAAAACCAATACAACTGGCTAGCAGAGTAGGTTTTTCCTTGGTAAAATGCCATAAATTATTAAGAGTCGTTTGAAATTCCCTGGTACGGTTGAGGGTAGGGAGAGATCGCTCTCCCTATCGAAATGTTCTCACATGGTCACGCTTATACAGCCACTAACAGGGAAGTCCTAATAATCGCTTTCTCGCAGCGGGGGTGTTTTTTTTTTGCGAATTTTAGAGGACGAAAAGCGAATTCCCGGCGCCCTAACCAGGATAGTGGATACAGATGATCCACCTAGAGGAGTTGGAAAACCCTCATTCCAAACCAATGCTCCACATGGGCTCCAGTATCCTGAAGGAACGAATGGCGTATGAACCAATTGTTGGTCACCGGCTACCATGGGACTGCATATCCTGACGTTGCTCCACTGTCTTTTGGATTAGACTTTTAGGCCAAAAGGGTGTGACTCCGTGAGAAAACCACCTGCTTAAGTCTGAGCACCCGGGCAGTATTACAACGCACACAAAAATCAAGTTACTTGTGTAGCGTATATGTACTCAGTTCACCCTTTGTACCAATATTTAGGTGTTCAAATTAAATAAATGAGAATCATAAGTGATTGCAAGAGGCAAATTTTATTGGTTATATATTCATAAGGTAATAAAATGAATATCTGAATCTCAAGTATTGTTCTTCCCAGTTATGTCACTCATTCACTATAGAGATTACTTAACATTCAGTAAATCACTTGGTAAGTACATAAATTATGTTTCTAGTTATTTTCTTAGAAATAAACTATTGGGATTTACCGTGTAGTGCAAAAATACCTAACAATTTCTAGTGTTTTTTTTTATCTTGAATTTGATAGCATTTTGATAATTTTCTCTGGTGTTTGTTTTATTGATCCATTTAGCACTTTTTACTACCAGTGATTATAAAAGCAGCATAGACAACAGAGAAAATGAAATACTTTGATAAATCGTTGCTTTTCTTACGGAAAAATAATTTTTATCATTTAACAATAAAATAAAGTGTTATCAGTATACGGTTATGGAAATTATCAAGTTTTCGATTGAGATTATGAACCTATTGATGTCAGACCATCATTTAAAACCTGGAAGCACTGGATGGCCTTTCCGTACTATTGTGTGACTACTCAGCAATGAGCATCCACGATCGCGCTCACGGGATTTTAGAGATTAAGCGTCCACGCGCGAAACTGTAGGCCTTGGGTTCGAATTCCGCTAGCGGGATCGTGGATGCACACTGCTGAGTAGTCCCACAATAGGACGAAATGGCCATCTAGTGCTTCCAGGTTTTCAATAGTGGTCTGAGATCAATCGGTTCGTGATCTCAATCAAAAATGAAATGTTGACTATTCATTATTAAGTTACTGTGATATTCTATTCTGTTGTCTATAAATAGTCAACTAATTCAATTTTCTGTCGTATTCATTATAATTCGTTTACTGTCATTCAATATCTTACAAAAAAATCAAAAGACGAGTATAATTTGTTCACGAATATTCAGCAAGGAATGTTGGGATTCAAAAATAGTTTAACTATATCTTTTCAAAAATTAAGAATATTTGAGTGAACAATTCTTAATTTTTGAATATATCTTTTCAGTTTTAAATAGTAGATGTTGACCAAGAACTTGATTTTATCATTTATCGGATGTTTTTACCCCTGTGTTTATGCTATGTTTGAAGCCATTACGAGTTCACCGAGTCTGAGAACGTAACAATGACTCTGTGACTGAAGACCAATAAGCTAGCTATTCTGATGCGTCCTAACCCCGCTAACTAAAGAGAGAAGTTTAAGTTCGACATGGGGAAATATATTCTACAAGCAACCAGAAGCACGAGCAATAACAACAGGCACAAATCAAACATATATATTGCATAAAATTGTCCTTGGGAAGCGTTACAAAATGGCATACTAAAAGATACAACGAACCAAAAGCGTTTTGCCTTCTCCCAAGTGGGAAATACAACATGAAGGTGAAAATGAGCTCTTTTGGCGCAAAAACAAGACATTCAAATTTTTAAAGTAACATTTCAAAATTAAGGTATTTACCAAGTGAGCTCTGGGGATCTAACATCCCCAAAAGTTTAATTATTTCAAACTGTGTAAACAAGAACTTTTCATTCAATCACAATAGTTGGAGGTTTTTTTCCTTTTCTTTGTTTTTTGTAAATGATATCTTCGTTTTTTTATTGTTTTCAAAATCTCTATCTAATTAGGTTGCTGCTAATACATTAACTAATGCAGAAAAATTGATATCAGCTGCGGATGAATTAGCAGCTCAAGCAGATGATCCAGAGGAAATATTACAGGTTAGTCATTATTATAATACTTACTTACACCTGTTACTCTTAATGAAGCATAGGCCGTCGATCAGCATTCTTCATCTCACTCTGTCCTGTATATTGAAACCTACTGCTGCTACACTAATCGTCTCTTGCATTTTGTGTTGCGTTTGCTCTAGAAGAGCCAGATCATCTGCGAAGTCTAGATCATCCAACTGCATCCTAGATGTCCACTGTATTTTGTACTTCCGTTTAGATGTTGACGTTTCCATGATCCAGTCGATTACCAGGAAAAATACAAACGGTGAGAGTAAGCAACCTTGCCTGACACCGGTCTTTACTTCGAAGGAGTTTGTCAACTGTCCTCCATGAACGATTTTGCAGATTAATCCATCATAGGAATTCCGTATGATATTGACTATCTTCTGAGGCACTCCGTAGTGTCGAATTATTATTTTATTATTATTTTATTATTATTTGAACACATAAATATTGGTACAGGGGGGCACCAAATATATATGCGCCACACAAAACAATGATAATTTCAAGAGAAGGAGAAAAGAGAAAAAAAAAGTAATGAACGTGGGGAATTATAAAAAAAAGAAGAGAGAGAGAGAACAATGGTGGGGGAAACGGAAAGGTACAATCAGAAGAGATCTTTCAATTAAGGAAGATATAACCATTTTCTATGAAGAAAGTAAGAGGTTACAGCAGGATCGCCACTGGCTTCTATTCTTAGCCATATCTGATAACGTCTCTAGCCACTGCGTTACACCGTCTCTCGGACCCCAACCAGGGAGTCGTGAAGGACCAACAGAAGCTAGCCCTTTACAGCTTTCTTTCATACCACGACACCATGTCATATACTGACCTTTTACAGCCAGACTAACATCACGAAGGCGCCAAAGATGGCTCATATCAGCATAAGCCGCTCTGGCTTTCACTATACGTGCATTGATCTCGTCACTCACGCCACCACCAGCACTTATGCAGCTACCTAGATACACGAACTTCTCGACTACTTCAATCTGCTCACCATCCAGAGTGATAACAGGATTAGAATCCTGCCAATCTTGTAGAAGTACTTTGCACTTCGAAGGTGCAAAGCATATACCATACCTACGAACATTAATTGCCAACTGATTAAGTGCGGATTGCATGGCTTGGGCATTCTCGCACAGTAAGACAATATCATCCGCATACTCAAGGTCGAGAAGTCTTTTTCCAGGCAACAGATCCACACCACCATTACTTACATCCATCACAGCTGTTTCCAGAATGTCATCGATGGCATAGTTGAAGAGGAATGGTGAGATTGGGCAACCCTGCCTAACCCCATTGCTTGAATGGAATAATGGAGAAATGTGGTTGTATGCCCTCACTCTGCCTGAGGTGTTTGTGTATAGGGCTTTTACGATGTTAATAAACTTCTCAGACACATCCTTCTTTAATAGACAATCCCAGAGAACAGTTCTGTCCAACGAATCGATGGCAGCCCTGATATCAAGAAACACTACGATTGTTGACCTTTGATAAGTATGACGGTGTTCTAACATTTGGTGGAGGGTGAAGATATGATCAATACATCCTCGACCAAAACGAAAGCCAGCTTGTTTCTGGAGAGTCGATCTTTCTAGGATTTTGAACAACCTAGGAGGTATGACGGAAGCCAATAGCTTGGACGCAATCGGAAGTAGACTTATCCCCCGATAGTTGTTACAGGAACAACGTGAACCCTTTTTAAAGATAGGGACAACTATCGACTCATTCCATGACGTTGGTACACACTCTAGTTCCCAGATCTTTGTAAACAACGTCGTCAGTCCCTTAGTGAGAACGTCACCACCATATTTAAAAAGAGTGCTGTTGAGCCGGAGGTAAGTCATCTGGGCCCGGTGATTTGTAACGTTTCAAGAGTTGGAGTTCCTTGCGGACTTCCGCCTCATTTGGTGGATCAGTCGTCACCGGCCATGGAGGGCAGGACAGTCTGACCGATGTTGCCGGAGCAGCAGGCCAGTTGAACTGCCCTTCGAAGAATTCTGCCCATCGTCCAAGACGTCGATGGATGTTAGTGATTGGCGTTCCGTCATCTTCGCAGATTGTTTCGCTCACACCAACTTCTTGCTGCCAGTGGCTCGGATGAGTTGGAAGAGCTTCCGGTAATTACCAGATGCAGCAGCTGCTTCCAACTCACTGGCACGCTCCGACCACCAGGCTTCTCGGTCCTTACGCAAGCTTTGCCCGATTTCATTACGTAACATCCTTCGTCTGAGGTCAAACTCACGGTCACCCGGAGTAGACCGACAGGCTTCAATCAGTTGTAAGGAACCAGAAGAAACCCAGTGCTTGTAAGCGGGACGTTTCGCAAACCCACAACTGACTGTACCCGCCATTTTCATGGCGTCATGCAATTGCAACCAATGCTCATCTATACTTTTCGGTGGAATGGTAGCTAGCCTAGAAGCTAGCTCGGTTCGGTACTTACTAGCAACAGAAGTTGCAGCCAGCTTGCTAACATCAATCCTTTGGTGGCGGTCACTTCGTTGTCCACTGAAAAGTAAGGTAAGATTGGCACAGACCAGAGCATGATCAGATTCCAGATAGGTACTCCAAAAGGAGCGGCAGTCTTGTACACAACCGCGCCAGCGGTAGCTGATCGCGATGTGATCAATCTGAGTCCAGACTTGAGATGCCGAAGGAGGACGCCAGGTGGCACATCGGCGATGACTGTGCCGAAAGTTAGTGCTAGCCAGAAACAGGTTGTGGTCTGTGCATAGTTGCAGTAGACGTTCCCCGTTATCTGTGCTGCGACCAACGAGTCCCCATCGGCCACCTAAACGACTCTCTTCTGTGCCTAAACGCCCGTCGAATTATTATAATACTACTAGTTCAAATTTCACAAAGAGACAAATGAATAATGAAAGGAATTGAATTCAAATCAACCTTGTTTATAGTAGACTGTTAGTTCGAAACGATCATTAGTCAGAAGTGTAGCTCAAAGCTGAATACATCAATTTGTACTTAGTATTTTTAATATCAACTTTGTTGTCGGGTTTTATCACTGATTAAGATAATTGTTACGTAATTGAGCAATGTTTTTTTGATATTCTTCATAATTATTGCATATAATCATTCTGAATATTGTTAGTGATAAAGTAAGATGTAGCAAATTGTTTAAGATAGACTGAAATGATCCTCAAAAAGGAGATTATGAGCTTAAATCAATGACCAAATGGGCTAAATCGACACTAATCTCTCAGTCATTATAATCTAAGAATGCTTTTAAAGCCTTCCAAACATTTACGATACACTATTTATATAATGTGATGATTCCATTGTATTCGATATCCTGTTTATTGAAAATGAATACGGTCTGTATGCATAACTTTGTTATCAGACTTAAATTATTCTCGTGATACTTTCTTAATATATAAATTTGAATATATTGTGGGTAAATCAAACTGACTACCCTGCTTTATATGTACTACTTTGGTTTAACATCAAGTCTATTGAGAACACTCTTAGCATACATATGCGATGAAACAATTTTTTATAACCTTTCTTCTTTATAGAATAGATAATGTTTAGTAACGGAATTCAGAACATCCGTTTCTTTGTATTTCGGATACGTCAGCTGAATTTACCTGCTTCTCAATATGGATGCTCTCATTGAGATATAAATCCAGTACTTATGCGTTATCCGTTGAGCTATTGAGTCAGTTCAAATTTTAATATCTATACTTTAACAGAAAGGTTATGCGTTCTTCATAGTTTTATGTTTCATACTTACTTAAGCCTGTTACTCCTCGCGAAGGAGCATAGGCCGCTTATCAGTATTCGCAATCCAACCCTGTCCTCGGCAATCCTTTCCAGCTCTTTCCAGTTCTTATTCATCCTTTTAATATCTGCTTCTATTTCCCGACGTAATGTATTCTTTGGCCTTCCTCTTTTCCTCTTCCCTTCAGGATTCCAAGTTAGCGCTTGTCTCGTGGTGCATTTTGATGATTTCCTCAATGTATGTCCTATCCATTTCCATCGTCTTATCTTAATTTATTCTTCAGCTGGAAGCTGGTTGGTTCTCTCCCACAAAAGGCTGTTGCTGATGGTATCCTGTCAATGGATGTTGGGTATCTTGCGTAGACAACTATGTATAAATACTTGTACCTTCTTGATGGTGGTTGTTGTACTTCTCCAAGTTTCAGCTCCGTACATTAGGACTGTCTTGATTTTCGTATTGAAGATTCTGACTTTGATATTGATTGACAGTTGGTTTGAGTTCCACATATTGTTCAATTGAAGGAATGCTGTCCTTGCTTTGCCAATTCTCGCTTTTACGTCTGCATCTGAACCTCCTTGTTCATCGATGATGCTTCCCAGGTATGTGAAGGATTCTACATCTTACAGAGTTTCGCCATCAAGTGTGATTGGATTGCTGTTCTCCGTGCTGTATTTGAGGACCTTGGTTTTCCCTTTGTGTATGTTGAGCCTACTGATGCAGAGACTGCTGTTATACTGGCTGTCTTTATCTGCATTTGTTCGTGTGTATTGGATAGGAGGGCTAAATGATCTGCGAAGTCCAAATCGTCTTACTGGTTCAGAGCTGTCCATTGTATGCCGTGTTTTTACTCAGATGTCGAGGTCTTCATAACCCAGTCGACCATCGGAAGAAAGAGGAAGGGAGAGAGTAGACAGCCTTGTCTGACTCCGGTTTTTATGTTTCATCCTTGCTGTAAATTTGAAAGCCAGTCACCTGCATATGGTAAAAGTTTAGTAGTGTTTAAAGAAGACACTTGACTTTCAATCAGTAAGTTGCAAGTTCAAACAAACCTCGTTACACTGAATTCGGTTTGGATACCCCCCCTTAAAATGTACAGCTAATATCTGAGTACATAAACCAGTACTTTTTAAATTTTAAGGCATACCTACAATCCCAATAAAATAGAAAGCATTCAGTATACTTACCAAACTATACAGTCATAAGCGTTTCAGTCAGTCAGAAACAACGTGGAACTTCGTACGTACGTACATCAGTTCGAGTCGCCATACCACATTAGCACAGAGATTCAGCTATCGATTCAAATCCCGTAGTGGTAGATTAGTGAAAGTATAAGTAGTGACAGGGAACGTTAAGGTTTGATGATGTTATTTAAGGAGTATAGTCCAGTGGAATAAATTGGGAAAGAAAATAAAGGAAATGGAGAATTCAGAAGATTAGAGTTTTAGAGAACACAGAGTGGATGCACCTGCGCCATTGCAAACGATTTTGAGCCATGTCATTCAAGATCTCTAACCATCGGTTGCTATCATTTCGCGGTCCCCAACCAGATAGTCTACATCTACCAACATGACTCAGTCCACTTGTCAGTGACTTGATGGATTTGTGCCATGTTTTGGTCTGGCCGCCCCTAGCTTTCTTCCAACCTACTCCTACACCAGAAAACATCGCACGTCGGGGCAGTCGGTGGTCAGGCATGCGCAACACATGTCCCAGCCATCTCAACTGATGAAGTTTCACTACTTCATCAATCGACTTGCCATCCTTACCTAATATCCGTTTCCTAACAACTACATTACTTACTCGGTGGTTACAGGATATACGAGCAATGTTTCGAAGACATCTATGATCAAATATTAGTAACCTGAGAATATCCTCTACTCTTACAGGCCATGTTTCACTGCCATAAAGTAGGACGGAACGAACTGCTGCGCAGCAAACCCGTCCTTTGTTTGATAGACGGATATCTGGCCTACGCCACAAATGACGCAAGTTGGCAAAAGCTAGTCGAGCCTTCTGTATCCGTGCTGAGATTTCGTCACACACCAGACCACAAGGGCTGATGAGACTTCTGAGATAAGTGAAGCGGTCGACACGCTCAAATAATTCACTCCCTATCACTCGTTCGGGTGCCGATGCAACCCAATCCTGAAGCAACATTTTTCATTTCGAGGTAGAGAATCGCATCCCGAACATGCATGCATTGTTGCTTAGAGTGGTCAGCAGACTCTGCGTTTTGTCAGCGTCTTCACTAAATAGAACTATTTCATCGGCATATTCTAAGTCAACAAGTGGATCTCCCTGTAGAAGTCCGAGCCCTGGAAAGTCAGATGTGGAAAGTGTTATTTCTAAAAGCACGCCAGCGACAAAGTTAAACAAGAATGGAGAAAGTGGACAGCTCTGACAAACACCACTTGAGGTAATCAATTCTGACGACAGTTCGCCATAAGCTCTCACCCGACCAGTAGTGTTCGAGTAGAGAGCCTTTATAAGGTTAATGTACTTTTTTGGTACTCCTTTCAGTGACAAACACTGCCATAGAACCTCACGATCAACAGAGTTAAATGCCGCCTTAAGGTCGAGAAATACTACTATTGTGAGGCGTCTGAATGTGTGTCTATGTTCTAGAACCTGACCTAGTGTGAATATCTGATCTATACAACCACGTCCAGGTCGAAAACCAGCCTGGTTTTCTCTAGTCTGTATTTCACGAGCTTTGGTTAGACGTCGAAGTATTATTGAGGCTAATATTTTAGACACTATATTAGTCAAACTAATTCCTCTGTGATTGTCACAAGAAGACTTTTGTCCTTTCTTATAAACTGGCACAATCAGTGATTGAGACCAGTCAGATGGGATTACGTCCGGTTCCCAGATTCTACCTAAGACCTCAGTCAATCTCTCTGCTGAAACTGGATCACCATCAGGGCTCCCAGATACACGGAGCGTAAATCGAGTTGGTTCGTTACTTTGACATGGTGAGGTCAAATGAATGACACTACTCAGATCCTGTATGCGCGTTTCAGAGACACAGCACACATCGATGGCGCGAGATTCTAAAGTCCTAGCAAAGGAAGCCTGTTGTCCTATTTGGCAGTGTTCGGACGTTGAAAGCTCCTACATGTAGTTTAGAGCGTGATTTCAGGATACCAGGAGTAAAGTTCCGCGTACTCGAATTGTTTGACCTGGAGTTGCGGGGTGACAAAGGGATATGAGAAAGGTTAGTCGTGGAGATAAGAGATTTATTTGGAGGTGTAGGAAGGATTTGAATGTGACCATCTTCGTCTCGTATGCTGTTACGGGTATGAGGGCTGATGTCACTTCCCGGCTGCCCACACCGTGGAAGGGTATATCTTGAGGGACCTGAAAACGAAATCGGATTAGCGTTGGTCTTAACGACCTGGGTGCGTGACCGCAGAGCCCATGGGACAACTGCTTGAGGCCGGTCGCGCACGGCCTTTTGGTGGGAGGTTTTTAATGTGTTAGCTCCGTTCTTCAAAGGGCCTTACCGCCGGAGACGGAAATCCGTGGGGTAAGGTGAGGTGTGACATTTTTAGGGTCAACCTTTTCTAACCCCTTCCTTCCTTGTGAGAAGGCAGCATCGTTGCAGATGCTGGTTGTCCGAGGGAAACACCTTACTGCTGTCACACCTCTGTACAGTCAGCAATACGACTTCTCCCTCAGACCTTGAGTTGCTGCTTTTAGTCTTACCGTTCTCCAATCGACCTGCCTGGCGTGGTAGAACCTGCAGGAACATGTGATCCACCCAATATAGCTCGGTTGGGTCATCACGATAGGCAAGCCCGACCACCACGTCAAGGTAGCAGCTACGGTCGGGAATAAGCGTTTATTTATAGTCAAATAATTAAGCAAATTAATTGAATCCAAAAAAAAATGAAATCTGTTCATAAATATCCTTCCATAAGTATAATACATTAGATGGAACTATTTATTTATACATTTCATTGTACATTTGCTTCTTTTTTTCCCTTCAACATCAAAAAAAGTTCCATTTCTCTCATTCTTATCGTAATGTGGTTTAAATAACACAACTGAATTATCGATTCACCAAGAATATTGGTCATGATCAAGTTATCTGTTTGCCTATTGTTTTTTTTTTCAACATAAGGTTCATGACTGTGTGTACGAAATGGTACATATATATATATATATATATATATATATATATATATATATATATATATATATATTCAATAGATTGTGATCCGTACTCTTGTATCTGTATGTGTATGTATATATATATGTGTAATCTGAATAAACAGTTCATTCATGATCAATATATCTAACGATATTTTCTGGTCCACTATTTTTCTAGGCAAATTCTTTTGATTTTATCTCATGTCACACTGTAGAACTAAGTATACTGAGCAACCGATTAGATGTTATTAATATATGATATACATGTATATGAGAGAGTATATGTGTAATCATTGATTTCCGGTGGTAACATTCATTTTTATATTCATTCTTGTAATCATAAAGTTTTCTATTCGATTTGTAAAATGTTATAATTTGAATGTAGAGAATGATTTAATGTTACATTCATGTATGAAATGTACATTTAACAAGTTACTTCAAATCTTCTGACCACGAATTTTTTATTTCAAGCTAAATACAACTGAATATGAACCGTTGTCGTTTAAAAAAAACACAACTATGCTGTGATAAGTCTTGCTAATTGAACGCTATATTCGGTTTCTAAGCTATTATCATGCCCCCCCCCCTAAGCTAGAACTATACAGTGACCTAAACACAAGAGAAAAGGCGCAAATTATGCGAAAAGTACTTTACTCCAAAGGTTCGTTTTAGTACAGAAAATATAAGGTTTTTATAGTATTTTAGATGTCTTTGGGTTTCCCGAAAATTCTGAAATGCTACTAAACATAGTAGCAGTATGGTGATCAGCCAATCAGGAACTTTACATGTGATTTTTCACTTTCTTGATGTTTCCTGCTAAACTTCAAGTGAATGCTGTTTGGATAAAATGCTTTTTAGTGTTTCCTGAGCCTTTCTTGTTTTTTTGCGAGAAGTTTTCTGGATCACCCCAACATGCTGAGATTATTTTTCGTCGCAGATTGATATCAATTTGAAAATCATTAAAAACCATCAAGGCCTTAATGACTGTTTCTTCATAGTGAAAGATTATCTCTGTAATTGATGAGACCTTTTTAAATTAGAAAGACATTATTTTATCAAGCAGAACAAGCTAGATAAGTAGATAATATTGTTTCTAATTCAACCCTTCTGAGAACTGTACTCTAATTTTAATCCTTCAGAACATAAATTTCTTCCTAGTCCAAAGTTGGAACCAAAATTATGCTTCTATTTATGCGAATACTTTTTCACGCAACTAGATGCACATTTATTCACTTGGTTTTAAGCCAGGTAATTTGTGCGAGAACCAATAATTCTTTCTACCCAGCTGTCCAAATCGAGATAGATGATTTAGTTTTAAAAACCTGCAACCTAATGTTTAAAAATCTAGTACTCTATTACTTATACACTACTTAACTTCACACAACTAATAGAAGAGGTGTGTCTTTCATTAGTGTAAAATGTATACAGGAAAAAAAGGGTGGTTAGTAAGATTTTTTAATTTCTATGGGGATTTGAATGGTTTAACTTGTATTACACATTGCTACTAAGCGTAAAATGCCTTCGTTATTTATTCTATCTGTATTCATGTACATTTCCTTGTACACTTTGTTTTGAATAAATTTCCATCTTTATTATTCGATTCATGATTAAATATTTTCGATCTAGTATTAGGCTTTTCTTTTCAATTTATTATTTTTCCATAGGATGCAAGTGAACTACAACATCGTATTTCAGCTTTTACACGTGCTGTTGAAGTTCGTAGAGAAACTTTAGATCTAGGTTGTGGCTTTTATTCACATACAAAAGAAGCATTAGCTTGGCTTCATAATGCACGTGAAACACATAATCCAGGTGAACACTTACCTGCTTCAATTGAAGGTATGGAAGATGAATTGACAAGTTTTCATCGTAATCGTGCAACTATGGAAAAGGATGTAGATCGTGCTTTAGCAGAAGGTGAAGCTTTAATAGCTAGACTGAAAGATTCTGAAGAAATTGCTCATTTACGTACTGTTTTAAATCAAGTGAGTTATTTCAACAACTTTCAATGTAAAATTTCTCATCTCCTTTGAAGTTGTCTATTTATCTGTCTTTAAGTTAATGTTGTATGATGTGTATCAAAAGACAATCTAAGCGAATTTTTATCTATCTTGATTTTCTCTGTTGTTGCTTTTTTATAAGTTTGTAATCCAAACCATACCCAACTTGAAATATTTGTTGACTTTTGCTCTTTCCACTTAATCCAAATATATGCTGATTGATGCTAAGATACGATTTACTTTGAATATTCTCGTATTCATTAGGCTTTCAGTGTATTCTCTTTAATCGTTAAAAACAGAGAAACTGTTAAAATTCAAAGCTGTACATATACGGTTTTTTTCTTATGTAGGTCTCGAATGAACGAACAACTGTTTCTACACTGTTAACAGAACGTCAAGTACGCCTGGATTTATGCCTTCAACTTAGATTATTTGAAGCGGATGTTCATTCAGCGTTAGATTGCCTACGTCATAATATTCCATCTTTATCTAATTTAAATCAATCGACCGATGTTAATTCCATTCATCAAAATAACAATTCTACAACTAATCGTTATTTTTGGTTAGCTGATCCTAGACAAGCACCAGATATGGCTGCTATTGAAGAGGTGTTAAGTTCTTGTCTATCTGTTTTACCAACAGCTGAAGAAGTTCTAAATAAAGGTAGTGAACTAGCTAGAGCATTTGAATCAGTTGGAGTTAATTTTCCTGCAGGTTAGTTTTTTTTATATCTGAAGATTATACTATTTTTTTTAAAATTCTGTTCTGGAATATCGTTGTTTTTGATCAGAAACACTTTATTCGTTTAAATTGTAACACAAAAATCACTATCAACAGAAAAAAATAAATTATGTAACTGTAATATCAGTAGTGAAAAATCAATATCTTTAGAACCCATTATATCTTGTTTATAGAGATTTATTGAATTTAAAGTTTTCATTTCCCACTCATTGATCTCATTTGAGGTACCATTAAAAACTAAGAAGGATTAAACAGTTGTTTTAACCTAGTATAGGAATCCGTAGTAGAATAAATTCAGAATCTTCATTCAGTTAGTCAGCTACAACGTAGGACCAGGCATATATTTGCATCGGTCCAAGTCGCCATACCGCATTAGCACAACAAGATGAACACACTAAATTCATAGAAGTAGTTTATTCAGTGGTGGTAATCTTCAGATCTTTCGGGAAACAATTAACAATCAGAGCCATTGAATTGATGCATATAATCCAGTTTCAACTTGAATCATTTTGTGATATAGTACAATAACTATTTAATCTCATTTAGAACTGTTTCACTTTCAACATTTGTAAACTTGCCATGTGTAGCGAATACGCAGAAGAAATTCAAGAACATTTTAACGTTAGTCACTAACGTGCTGATTATTGCCTAGTTTAGTTTCTATTTTCTAAGTAACTTTAATATTTTGAATAATTTGATTAAAAATTGATAAGAGAAAACCCATTAAGTTTTTAATTATTTCTATTTATTTCCTTTAAAAGGTGGCCCAGGTTCTAGTGATTCCGGTATGGGTGATAGTGCAGAGACTGCTGTAGAACGAGTTCATCGTTTAATGACTGAACTTGCTGATGTTGTAACATCAGTTGATGTATTGAATGAACGGTTAAATGGTGAATTAGACTGGCGTCGTCTTCAGTTACAAAGTAGACAGGTAAGTAGTTAAATAAAAATAATAAGGAGAAGTAAAACAGGGAAAGAAATTTTCCAAAAAAAATTTATTATTCATTCTTATTTGTGATAGTGGTGGTCTCCGCCTACGCACTTTGTTAGTCAGTGTGATTGATTAGTTAGTGTTGTCCCTTTAACTAATACATGTTGATATATATATTTACATGTTTGTTTTAGTCAGTCAAATGCAACTTACAGCCCTGGCACGTGTATGCCTCGGTCCAAGTTGCTACGTCCCATTAGCAAAGCAATAGGAAATTGTCAACGTAAATCCCATAGTTGTTGAGGTATTAATAATATTAATGATAATAGAATAGATACGATTCGAGAAAACTAAGAACCAAGGGAACGATTTGTAGCCATATTGCCCAAAGTCTTTAATGATTGCTTACTGTCAAGGTTTTGCATGAATTGTACTTTTAGTGCACATATATGTATGTGTTGATGTTTTTCTTTCCGTTTTCTTCATTATTTTGTTTTTTTTCCAACTACGAATCTTACTTGTTTATCTCGGCAAATGTGTGTATGTTTATGTAGAGAAACAGATCTATTCATATTAATTAAATATTTTATAGAGATACGTCGTGTAGGCAAGCAATAGCATGTCATACATCTATATTCAGTGCACAGCGTAAAAAGTTCATATTTCAATATTGTTTATCGTTTTCTACTATCAGTTGACCACAGATTTACTTAACTTTATAATAGACATGCTTTTAGATATAGCACTTATTATCTGACTTTTTTGCAATTGATCTACTAGGAGATTCACAGATCAAATAGTTCTGTTTGGTGAAAATGCTAAAGAAATGCTGAGTTTTTTGATCACCTTAAGCAACAATGGAAGCATGTTTGGGATACGGTTCTCTCCCTCCAAATGTAAAATGTTACCTCAAGTCTACGCCTGAATTAATGATAGGGAGTGAAGTAATTGAACATAACGACTGCTTCACGTATCTTGGGAATCTCATTAGTATTGATAGTTTAGTGTTTGACTAAATCTCGACACAGATTTAGACGGCTCAATTGGTTTTCGCTAATTGGCGTCACTTGTGACGTAGTCGAAATATTCGTCTTCCAACCAATGGACGAGTTTATTGTGCGGCAATTCTCTCCGTTCTACTTTAGGGATGTGAATCATGGCCATTAAGAATAGGGGATATTCATAGGTTTCCAGTTTTCGATCACAGGTGTCTTCGAAGCATTACTCATGTATTTTGGGACCATCGAGTAAGCAATGCCTGGGTTAGGAATAGGGTACTAGATAAGGATGGCAAATCAACTTATGAGGTAGTGAATCTTTATCAACTGAGGTGTTTGGAACACGTGTTACGTATGTCCAACCACCACCTACCTCGACGGACGATTTTCTCTGATGTAGGAGTTTTCTGAGAAGTTAGGGGCGGTTAATCCAAAACATGGTATCAGTACACAAAGTTACTGAGAGTTGGACTGAGCCATTTTAATTGTTGTAGACTACCTTGGTTGGGGTCCGAGTGATTATCATAACCAGAGGTTAGAGACTTTAAATGACATGGCTTGGAATCGTTTGCAATAGCGCAGGTTTATCCATTATTTCTCTTCTCACAAATTCCAAGATGCTGAATCCCTCAACGTTCTTTTATAATTTCATTAATCTAATGTTTCTCGAATCGTGTCTCTGATGTCTAATCTTTCTTATTACAACTGATTCTGTCACTATCTCTACTACTCTGGGATTTGGCCTGACAATTTCACCTCTCTATGCTAATGGGGTATGACAACTTCAACTGATGTACATACGTGCTGTTTTTTACGTTATGACTGACTAACAGATTTATTTAACTTTGTCACTTTCTACTAAATTTATACCATAATGTAACAAAATTATAATAGGAATTATTTACAAGTTTTGATGATCAATACCTGTAAATGCCATGTATCTATATTTTTGTACATATGTATCTTGCGTAGTTGCGACTAGTTGGTATGTTGATTGTGCACTCATTTGTAGTGAATACTTAGTGTTTAATATAAAAGTTAGGTTAGGTTGCATACCAACACTTTCACTGTCATATCATTCTATTTGGACAACGGATTAGTAGTATTTTTATTTTTCACATAATAAGTATAAATGGAAAATGAGTTGGCTACCGTTTATTTTGTCTGGTAGGTTGCATTAAATATATTTCATTTTATATTGATGCACAAATTTATGGTTTGAAGTTAAATGTAGTAATTATCTCATCGGTTGATAACTAGGTCCCCCTCAATTTATCTATCCAAACTGTTCTTCTTAGCTAAGTGTGTCTTTTTATGAACCGTTTATATGGATTAAAAATGTTTAAAAAAAAAACTAGTTAACTAGTAATTAGTAATCTTGAGGTAAATTGGGAATTGGTTTAAAGTGATTAAATATTTTGTTTAAACATTTGTGTGATTGAGCTACAAAGTGGATTTCAAACTTTTCATCATAAATCTATCGTTTCACATATGGTGAATCCCTCACTACTCTTTCCTGATCTGGAGTAATATAAATATCATTATGAAATTCGACAGATCTCTGATATAATCAATTAGTTCTGGAATAGGTAGAATAAAAGAATAATTATTGCAATGTTTGACAACCTGTTTTACTTGTACATATTCAACTAACGGAACTATTTTCCAATATTTTGACTGAGATTTGATCAGTCTCAGTCAGGATATGTACATCATGTGTGGCTTGCCTCTATATGCTCTCATGACACAAGGTAATATAGAATAGATGTAGTGTGGCTAACAGTGGAATACAGGATGCGCGTTCTATTCTACTTGAGATTCGTCAGCTGCATGTCCCTGCACTCCAGAGTTGATGTTCACTTCGGGACTCGAAGCAAATACCGTTCGACTCAAACGTCCAGATAACCACTCACTTGTTCAACCATTATTAATTCTAATTCAATTTGAAGTAGTTAGGATTATCCCGTTGTTGATATTTTGACCGAAATTCGATTAGTCTATTCTATATTAATTGATGTCATAATGGGTATATCAAGGCAATCCTCACAAGATGTACATATGCCAACCAACAGCGAGAAAATTCGCCAGAATATCAACAACGGGATCATCCAAACCATTTCAAATTGATTTATTTCCTAGTTGTTGGAATACTGGTTTAAACTAGTAGGTGTATACCCTACTGCACGCTTCAGGCCGGAGGTGAATCGCCCCTACAAGAAGTCATCAATTGATAACCGTTCTACATCACATCATTATATATATAATGCATAAAGGTCTTATAACAAACATTGTTTTATTACGATAGTTGTTGGCACACACTATTTAATTTATTTTCATATTTAGTGTGCCTGTATATTATTAATGTATTAAGCAATAATCATAATGTCACTTAGCACAACAGTTCATGAGCTTATTATTTTTATAACTTTAATGTAAACAAATTAGTTTTGTGCAATAAAAAGTAATTATTAGAATATGTTCATTAAATGAAGATCATACAACCTGATATTGTTATCATTATTATGGTATCAAATACACTCTAAATGTTAGTGCTAACAATACTACTGGATTACGTGGAGCAACAGGGTTTGAACCTGAGAATTAGTGGCTGAGATTTGAATCCATTTGACCAATAAGCTACCGCATACACTATATATATATATATATATATATATATATATATATATATATATTCATCTAATAATAAGACATTAGTTTCATGAAGGATTCTGAAATTTTTTTAACCACTATAATTAATACCATATCTCCGGCAGCAAGAAGTCTGGTGTGAGCGAAACAATCTGCGAAGATGACGGAACGCCAATCACTAACATCCATCGACGTCTTGGACGATGGGCAGAATTCTTCGAAGTACAGTTCAACTGGCCTGCTGCTCCGGCGACATCGGTCAGACTGTCCTGCCCTCCATGGCCGGTGACGACTGATCCACCAAATGAGGCGGAAGTCCGCAAGGAACTCCAACTCTTGAAACGTTACAAATCACCGGGCCCAGATGACTTACCTCCGACTCTTTTTAAAGATGGTGGTGACCTTCTGACTAAGGGACTGACGACGTTGTTTACAAAGATCTGGGAACTAGAGAGTGTACCAACGTCATGGAATGAGTCGATAGTTGTCCCTATCTTTAAAAAGGGTTCACGTTGTTCCTGTAACAACTATCGGGGGATAAGTCTACTTCCGATTGCGTCCAAGCTATTGGCTTTCGTTATACTTCGTAGGTTGTTCAAAATCCGAGAAATGTCGACTCGCCAGGAACAAGCTGGGTTTCGTTCTGGTCGAGGATGTATTGATCATATCTTCACCCTCCGCCAAATGTTAGAACACCGTCATACTTTTCAAAGGTCAACAATCGTAGTGTTTCTTGATATCAGGGCTGCCTTCGATTCGTTGGACAGAACTGTTCTCTGGAATTGTCTATTAAAAAGGATGTGCCTGAGAAGTTTATTAACATCCTAAAAGCCCTATATACAAACACCTCAGGCAGAGTGAATGCATACAACCACATTTCTCCATTGTTCCATTCAAGCAGTGGAGTTAGGCAGGGTTGCCCAATCTCACCATTCCTCTTCAACTTTGCCATCGATGACATTCTGGAAACAGCTCTGATGGATGTAATTATAGTGGTGTGGATCTGTTGCCTGGAGAAAGACTTCTCGACCTTGAGTATGCGGATGATATTGTCTTACTGTGCGATAATGTTCAAGCTATGCAATCCGCACTTAATCAGTTGGCAATCAGTGTCAGTAGGTATGGTATGTGCTTTGCACCTTCGAAGTGCAGATTGAAGTAGTCGAGAAGTTCGTGTATCTGGGTAGCTGCATAAGTGCTGGTGGTTGCGTGAGTGATGAGATCAATGCACGTATAGTGAAAGCCAGAGCGGCTTATGCCAATCTGGGCCATCTCTGGCGCCTTCGTGATGTCATCTGCCTGTAAAAGGTCGGATCTACAACGCGACGGTGAGAGCAGTTTTGCTCTATGCTTGTGAAACCTGGCCTCTCTGTGTTCGATCATCGTTGTCTCCGAAGGATTGCTGGCATCCAGTGGCAACACCATGTCATTAATGCAGAGGTTCGACATCGAGTGTTCGGTCACAGAGACGATAATTCCATTGGTGTCACCATCTTGAAACACCGACTTCGGTTGCTTGGACATGTTCTACGAATGTCGTCCCAGAGAATTCCTCGTCGTGCATTATTTGCTGACTCTGGGACTTTTTGGAAAATGCGGAGAGGTGGTCAGTATATGACATGGTGTCGTGGTATGAAAGAAAGCTGTAAAGGGCTAGCTTCTGTTGGTCTTTCACGACTCCCTGGTTGGGGTCCGAAAGACGGTGTAACGCAGTGGCTAGAGACGTTATCAGATATGGTTCAGAATAGAAGCCAATAGCGATCCTGCTGTAACCTTCTTTTACTTTCTTCATAAAAAAAGTGGTTGCCTCTTTCTTAACTGAAAGATTTCTTCTGAGTGTACCTTTCTGTTTCCCCCATTGTTGTTCTCTCTCTTTTTTTTTCTCCTTCTCTTCAAATTATCATTGTTTTGTGTGGCGCATATATATTTGGTGCCCCTTTTTACTAATATTTATGTGTTCAAATAAATAATAATATAGATTGTCCCAACAATCATTTATTGTAGCCTTCGTTAAACCTAAACTTTCACGTTCATACTTTGTTGAATTTGTGATTAGAGAGCGAGAATGAAAGACGATCTTCTCTTTATGATTTTATTTATGTTTAATCTTTCTTGTGCTACACGTTTTTTTTTACAAATTCCAGTAATAGTTAAACATATGTAATTCCTTACTGATGATGGTGATAGAAAGCTAACTATTTACTTGTTTGGTTTTCTGCAATACTAACCTGTTTGTAGGCATACCTCACTAATGCATTATTGAATAAAAAGAGAAACTCATTAGTTTTCTTGTATCCTTTAATTACATAGCCTACTAGTTTTAAACGAAGGAGAAGTTTAACATTCCAAGCTGTAATTTACTTAATTTGAAATCTATTATTCCATTGCTTAATTACATTATTCTGTGTTTAATTTTTGTGATATTTGTCTTTGTGTATTTCTTTTAACGGAACCTATTGTTATTATCGTGATTAATGTTGTTGTTTTTGTAACTTATTAGGGCACTAAAAAGCTCTTGTACTCAAACAGTTTATGTGCTTGTGTGTGTTGGCATTTGTAATAACTACTTATTGCCAAATCTAATATAAAGATGAATAGGTTTCAGGACCTTCAATCTATCACATGGTACAGATGATTCTAATAGGGGGAGTTGGAATACCCTGATTTCAAACTAATGATGCACATGAATTCCAGGTTCCTGAGGAAATAATTAGCGTATGAACCTATTGTGGATCACCGTTTACCTTGGGATCTCATCCCTTAACGTTGCTCCACTGCCGCGTGCATTAGATCTCTAGGTCAGTGGTTCGAGGAGTAGCCCTCTAAGAAAACAAATTGTTTCAGTTTGGTCACCCGGACACTTTTCTACCCACCTTAAAATTTAATGATTTATTATGTGTCACATATATATTTAGCTGCCTTTTTGTACTAGTGTTTATATGTTAAAATAAAATGAAGTCCAATTGTTTAAAGTGATAGCACACTGCTTCTTTTTTTTCGAAGTAAAATAACCTTGGTACTGTAATACGGTTACAACCTGACAATTTCATTTTTCTACATAATGCACAAATAATTTATCTGAAAACTTTCTTTGCCAATAAAATTTTAGGTATTACATTGGATAGGTCAGTGTGAAAGTATTTTACATCAGACTGCTGTTATTCCATCTAGTTTAACTGAAGCAGAAACTCTTTATGCTGATCATGAAAAATTTCAACCAGTTTTAAATGATGCTCATCCTCAAGCGGTTCAATGTGCTGCACGTGCAAGTTATTTTTTACAACAGACAACATTGAATAATACATCAACAGGAAATACAAATTCATCAAATAATGAACATCCAAGACGAAAAGATTATCAATCTGTTGCTGAAACAGTAGCAAATCGATGGCAAAAATTAGTTTATGCTGCTGAAGAACGTCATAAATTATTGATTTCTGCAACTAATTGGTAAATTTGATTGATCATTTCAATATATATATATATTTCATTGGATAATTTGTATTTAGAGAATAAATGTTGAACTTGATAGTTTTAAATAAATTAGGTAGAAAGTTAATTATAGTAAGCATATTCTTTGTCGTATACCATTGAGTAAAAAATTTTTATATTTAACGTTTCGTAACTTAATGTAAGCTACTTCTTCAGAGTAAATAAATGACGGAATTAAATTAATATAAGTTTAAGTAGTACTATATTGCTTAATCGTACTATTTAAACTTCTAATTTAATTTCGTTATTTATTTACTCTGAAGAAGTGGCTTACATTAAGTTATGAAACGTGAGATATACAATTTTTTCTACTCATTGCAATATAATAAAGAATATATTTATTATCAATATTCTATATGGTTTCGTAAAACCAGTTTGTTTTATTTGTTTAACTCCCTTCCATTAAATCTGTAGATATAAAGGGTTTTCTTAGGGAAGTAGTTAAACATTATTATGATCAAGGAACGAATAGAATATCATCTTGATTTTTTTTAATAAGTTTCTATAAAAACTCAATACACAGTTTGTTCTATTTTTGTCAGATCCCGACGTTTAGTAGTGTTGGGTTTATGTTTATCTTGATAATAGAATACCTAATGGAATCTAGGATAATAACGCGTCAACCTTTGTGCAATATCACAGGTGATAAGAAATTAGTGCTGGCCTATTGCATGAAATAATCGAAACTTAACTTAACCGATATCATAAAAGAAAGGAAAAAATTGTAGGAACATGTTTTGCCGGGTCAGTTTTGTTTGGGAGTGTATCTACCTATGAAAATTTATTTTATTTATTTAATTAAACACATAGATATTGGTACAAAGAGGCACGAGTTAGATATACGCCATATAAATCATTCGGTTTGTTTGAGGGCTGTGATACTTTCCGGGTGCCCAAACCGAAGCAGGTGAATTGATTAGGGGGCCACACCACTTTAAGACTCAGTAGCTAAGTGGATCACGTGTTGGCGTTTGAAGCGAACGTTACCGGATTCGAGTTCCGGAGTGAACGTCAACTCTAGGATTCAGGTATATTCAGCTGACATGTTCCACTGCTAGCCACTATCCATCTTTATCGCTTAGATAATGTACGTATAAAAATTTTAAAATTTGTATTGTTTAACTGAAGAAATCTCATCCCTATGTAATCCTAACAACTATATTGGGGAATGGTTGTTTAAACATCTAATTGATTCCTTTTAAACTTTCTGAAAGTATTTTGTTTGTTACATATTCTCTGATCATCTGGTGTCTTCAAATCGTAGTTATTTTCTCAATGTTTAACTAGTAGAAACCTCAGTCAGTCAGTCAGCTGCAACGTAGGACCAGGCACGTATATGCATCGGTCCAAGTTGCCATACCGCATTAGCACAACAAGATGAACACCGAATTCATAGAAGTAGTTAATTCAGTGGTGGTAATATATAGAAGAAAGAGTGTGTATAAGGAGATAGTACAGGAAGATAGAATTAGTTCCTAGAAAGAAAGATTTGAAGTGATTTTAATCTCTTAGTTTAAAGGAAGACAGAGAGTGAATACACCGACGCCATTGTGATCGATTCTGAGCCATGTCACCAAGAGTCTCCAACTATTGGTTACGATAGTCACGCGGACCCCAACCAGGTAGTCTGCATCTTCCAACATGGCTCAGACCAGAAGTTAGTGACTTCAAGCACTGATGTCACGTTTTGGTTTGGCCAACCCTAACTTTCTTCCAATTATCCCCTACACTAGTTAGCATTGCGCGTCGTGGTAATCGGTGTTCAGGCATACGCAGCACGTGGCCCAACCATCTCAGTCGATGAAGATTCCTAACCTCATCAACTGATTTACCATCATCATTCCCTAATACCCTACACGTCTAACCTCACTATTACTTACCCGGTGATCCCAGCAGATACCCGCAATATTTCTAAGACACCTGTGGTCAAATACTAGTAACCTACGAATATCTTCTACTCTTAAAGGCCAAGTTTCGCAGCCGTATAGTAGAACGGAACGAACTGCCGCGCAGTATACTCCTCCCTTAATTGATAGACGGATATCTCGCCTACGCCATAGATGACGTAAGTTGGCAAAGGCCAAGAGAGCTTTTCGAATCCGTGCTGAGAAACCTATAAAATGTTTTATTATTGATCAGTTGTTCGTGTAAGCTAGACAATTCTCTTGCTCACTTACTTGTTGTTTGAATTGTTTATCAATCTGTCATCATTATCATCGTCATTCAATGAACTATTTTGTGACCAGTAAAAATGTATATACATGTGTTCAATCCGTATAACTTTTATGTTAGACACTGTACCCAAATGTATAATTTATCATCAATGGCGGTTTTAGTGTTAAGTTTTGTTTTTCTATTTGTTTTTACATATTTTACACCAAACATTATCAACACGTACTTGTTTGTATTAAATAATTATTGTCATGATAACTTATATAAAGCTATTAGACTTAACTTGATACAGCTAAACTGTAAGGTTTTTCCAATATTTTAATCATATGCACGAACATGCATGGATATAGAGTAATTGAGTTGTACATTCCCTTATATATTAATATTATTGTTTCTAACTAATGTTTAATTTCCGTGTATTATTTTTCTGCTGGTCTATTAAGTAGTATAATTATATCATCATTCTGTAATTTGTTCTAATGCCATTTCATTTTGGATATATATATATATATATATATATATATATATATATATATATATATATATTTAGTGCAAATAATTGAGGAAGATGGCGTCATGATATTTTACATTCAATAATAATGTTATCAATAACTAGGATACAGTCATGAGTTAACCATAGAAAAAGTTTTGTTGGTAAAAACAAAAAAGAAGTAATATTTTCTCTTTTGCTTTCTGTATCAAATAGAGGAAAGAAAAAAAGAAAACTAACGATAATAATTAAGGACAAACAAAAAGTCCAGTCAATCTATATCCATGTGTATGTGTGTGTGTGTGTGTTACATATATATGTATGTTATACTCCATTGATTTGAAATGTCAACTAGAAATTTTGTTTAACCCATTAATATATCATTATACATATGTATATATACATTTAAGTCACGTAAAATGTATATAAGTTGCTACTACTACTACTACTACTACTACTACTAATAATAATAATAATAATAATAATAATAATAATAATAATAAACTACCATAGTATTTGATGATTACATTTGATTTACTTATTCACTTATTCATAAGATTATAAAAAGGATAAAGCAAAAAAGAAAATATCATACAAAATGTTTTTTCCTTTTTCTTTTTGTTTTTCTTCTTCTTGTTACAAATTAATCTAAGAAAATTATATGATCTAGTTAGTGTTATTTTATAGTTGAGTTGATAGTTGTTGCTTAGTTGACAAATAAAAGAAGTTTACTTTATCTAAATAATGTATTCATAGAAATAGTATTAACTAATTTCATTTGGTTTCATAAATGTACATTTATGGTTTTTTGGTGGTTTTGTGTTAAATTATATCAAACCGTTACATGCCTCAATGTACAATGACACATCGTGATAGAAAATTCGATATAGTTAAACTAAGATGTGAGATTAATCGATTTATTCACTAATTGTTGACCTGAAGAATGTTCGTAGATGTGGATACTGACTATTCTGGATTCATGTGATCACGGGTTATAGACGTTGAATGAAAGTGCTTACAATTGATCACCGTAGTGTAGATATATTCTCTCTTCATCCTTCCGATATCATAAAAGAAAGGGAAAAATTGTAGGAATATGTTTTGCTGGGTCAGTTTTGTTTGGGAGGGTATTTACCTATGAAGATTTATTTTATTTATTTAATTAAACACACAAATATTGGTACAGGGAGGCACCAAAAAGATATGCGCGATATAAATCATCCGATTTGTTTGAGGGCTGGGATACTGACCGGCTGCCCAAATCGAAGCAGGTGGTTTTTGGGGGTCACACCTGGAGCCTCCGACCTATAGATCTGATCCACAAGGCAGTGAAGCAACGTCAGGAGATGCCGTCCCATGGTATCCGGTGACAAATTACTGGTTCACACGTCAGTTTTTCCTTTAGAATCCTGGAGCCCATGTGCATTATTTGTTTGGAATTAGGGTTTTCCAATTCCCTTATATGGACTCTCCATGTCCATCAACCCGGTTAGAGCTCCGGGAATTCGCTTTTCGTCCTATTAATCTCGTAAACAACACTCCCGCCACGAGAAGGCAGTGAGTTGTACTTCCCTGTCAATGGTTGTATGCACGTGATCACTTGAGTGCATTGCAAGAGGGAGAGTTGACTCTCGTCGCCGTCGGCATTTGGGGGCTATAGAAAACGGCAAAGTGATTTGTTGAATGACTTATTACTTTCAATTTATTACTCTCATTTTTTTATACACATAGGTATATCTTTCATAATAATCAATACTCGAACGTATTCGAATTTACTACGTTTTGCCGAGTCTATTCCTTTTAAAAGAATAAAACTAAATTTGTATGTTCAAAAGGGTACAGTTGTAGATCTTTCATTACTCCGGTAACTTCTATCTGTCATGAATCTGCTGGGGACGTTAGATCCCCAGAACTCACTTGAAAAAGGACCTAATTTTGTAATTTTATTTAGAAAACTTGAATTTCTTTATTTTCGCGCGAAAAGCATTTTTCACTTTCATGTCGTATTTCCCACTGGCGAATATCTTATATACTATTGTTCCGTTACGTCTTTAAGTATGCTATTTTGTAACTCTCCCCATGGACGGTTTTTTGCTGTATATATACGTTTTCCAAGCTTGGACTTTTTCCTTTAGTTAGCGGAGTTGGGACGAAACAAATAGCTAGCTTATTGGTCTTTAGTCGCCGAATCTTTGTTCTCGTTCTCAGATTAAGTGAACTCGTGATAGCTTCAAACTTAGCAGAATCATTAACTTAATATCTTATTTCAAAGTATTTACAGAAGTATATTTACATGTCACTATTTCAAATCATTCCAAGAATTGTGAAATATTGCTTATATTATTATAGTTAAACTTTATAAACGATCAGGTGTCGTTATTATGTATCAATCTCTTTTCTCCATTATAACATCATTTCTTTTTGTAAGCTTTACTCATCTTAATCTGTTAGTCTATCTAATCTTATGGTTGTTATGATGTAATCTTTGGTGTCTACTTTCATTTCCGAGAAATATATCTGTATGTATTGAAAAATTTTTTTTTTACTTAATAACATGGAAAATGTTCTTCCTTCCAAATAGGCTATAATTCTCATATTTGTTGTTCTTCTATTCATATTCATTCATACTGACAGATAAATTACATACATTGGTTGGAAATAATTATTACTATTACTTTTCCTAGTTGAAATCATAAGTCAATTGAAGCTAGACCACCATGGAAAACCTGGAAGTACTGAACGGCCGTTTCGTTTTATTGTTGGAATCCTCAGCATTGCGCATCCACGATACCGCCTCGCGATATTTGAACCCAGGACCTATCGATCTCGCGCGTGAACGTTTAACTTCTAGACCACTGAACCGGCATCTAGGTTTTCCATGGTGGTCTAGCTTCATTTCATTCATTATCTCAAGTGTAAAATTACTGAAATCTCCACAAAACCCCTTCTGATATTATTTTTCAGTTGTAAACATATAAGATGAGACTATGAAATAAATGAATTCATCTTATTCTGTTACGTTTATTGTTTTTACTTTAGATAGATTTATCCATGGGAAATTATCAGAGCCGATGAACATAATAAGAAAACATCTTGGTGTGAACGATATATATATATATATATATATATATATATATATATATAATATTTCAGCAATTGATTTGCAATCCTTACCTAGTACCCGGTTCCTAACAACCACAATACTTGGTGGTCCCAGGATTTACGACACCCAGTAACCTACGAACATTCTCTACTATCACCGGCCGTGTTTCACTGCCATAAAGTAGGACGGAACGAACTGCTGCGTAGTAAACACGTCCTTTGGTTGATAGACGGATATCTCGCCTACGCCACAAATGACGCAAGTTGGCGAAAGATAGTCGAGCCTTTTATATCCGTGCTGTGATTTCGTGACACACCAGTCGCAAAGGCTGTTGAGACTTCCCAGATAAGTGAAGTGGTCATTACGCTTAACGACTTCATTCCCTATCATTAGTTCAGGTGTCGATGCAACCCAATCCTGAAGCAACATTTTGCATTTCTAGAGAGAGAATCGCATGCCGAACATGCTTGCATTGTTGCTTATAGTGGTTAGATGACGATCAACTGAAACATTTGTTTTCTGATTTTATATAATGTTAACGGTTGTTTCACTGTTTTAGCACTTTGTTTTCCCCGCCGCCCAATAGGATTAAATGATTCTATACATGGTGTGATATTTCAACATTTAGATATTTTGTATATTTAATAAATATATACTCTTTTGACTGGTTTAAGTTCATTTCATCCATATTTCTGTGTTAGAAATTGACAACAATCTTTTTATTTCTAGACCTATTCGTGTATAATTTCAATGGACCTTCATTACATACTATGAATCATTAAATATAACACTTTCATATTGTTTTTGATCGAGTTCTTTTCGTTGTATACACATAAACAATGATCACCTTATGATTTACAATCATACTTTACTTTTTATAGTTTTCCAATTCATTCTTGTTGATCTTCATTTATTGCTGTTATTACACTCATTTTTCTGATGATTGTTTATTATGAAAAAAGTATTTCAATATATTAACATCCCTCTATTCATTTATTTGATCCAAAAAAAAAATACCCAACAATCTTATAGGTATCGAACATCGGATCAAGTGACTTCAGTTTTATGGTCTCTAGAAAAAGAATATCGTCGTGAAGAGGATTGGTGCCAAAATGAAAAAGCTATAAATAGTGGTGATCCTACAAGTTATTTAGCTCAATTATCATCAAAACATGCTGAACAAAAAGAAGCATTCTTAAAAGCTTGTATGTTAGCTAGGTAAGTGACATTATTAATGAAAATAAACAATACAGAGTTTTAATAATCTTCGTCTTCGTTTTCATACTAAATCCTGTGGTTGTTTTACTTCAATAAAAAGAAAATTAATGCAACAACCCTTTTTATTCGTAACAAGTAGATCTTTCTTTCTAAATATATATGTCTAAACATGTTCTAATCAGGAATATATGCAAGTTAGTGATTACTTTGAAGAGAACGTTTATATACTACTACTAACCAAGTAGAATTAAAATAAGTTGAAAAAGAAGGAAAAAAATCTGTGAAACATTTTATATTTAAGTAAAATCAATAATTAAGATTGAGTAAGTGATAAAAGTATGAAAAAAGTTGTATCTGTGAGAATTAATCATTTAACTGAGTTATTCTCCTATGATATATGTATGTAAGATTCTAGTTTACAAATTGATTGATTGGTCGATAAAATTCGATCAACTCAAAAGAATTAGTTAAGCTCAGAAGTCTGTTTACTAACTCAATCAGTCCTACAGGAGAGTCAGTCACGAATATCTCATTGCTAATATCACTGTCTATGATCCTAGTCTGCTCAAATTTTGAAGAGATACCAACTGGTACGAAACCTAGGTACTGGTCATCTTGTCAATTGTATCTAGGATTTCATTCTTGTTAGGTGAGTAGAAAGAAAAGAATCAACAGAAAAATTTCTAAAATTTAGATCACCTTCTATTAATTCTCCTCTTAATGAAATCTCATAGATGCGTAATTTAATGCTTATGTCGATCAAGTTTTCATTTCTTTTATTTTTCCATTATTTATGTTAGGAATTTTCATTGATCGCTCTTCGTTGATATATGTGCATCCTAGACGGATGTTGAGATTGTCGTATACAACTGTTTTATCATATTAGTTTTCGTAGTTAATCATTATTACATGATTTTATTATTTGCATTTTCATTAATTATTTGGTTAGAGTTTTTTTTTAGCGAGTTAGTTTTCTACAGGATTGGGTCGCTAACTCCATGCTCAACCCTCCTTCTTTATCCGGGTTCGGGACCGGCAGTAGCCTCAGAGCGGCTTCATTAATGTTTGATATATTTATGGACTATTTTTTTATTTCTTTTATTTGGATAATTTTATTTTCTTCTTCATATATTTCAATTATTTTAGGCGTACATCTGATTTGTTTAGTAAATATTTACATCGTCAACCAACTAGTACTACAGGACGTATAGAAGTTGAAGAGAAAATTCGATTAGCTATGACAGAATTAATGGCTAAAGAAAAAGCTGTTCTAGAAGCATGGGCTGTTCGACGTAGACGTTTAGATGATTGTACTTATTTTATGAATTTAAAGGTAAATTGACTTGTTAACATAATAATATGTAATGAGTTAATCGTGTTTGCTAAAAATCATCATAAATTTTCATTGTTGTTATCACGTCTTAAATTATGATTTTTTTTTTATTCTCCCTAGAATAATGTTTCAAGGAGCTATTGATTGTTAGGTTTTATACATTAATCTACATATTAAAACATGTTTCTTGAAGTTGAATGTTTATCTCGGTGCCACTTCCAATGGTACTGTACATAATAAGTCTAAATTGCATTATGTGTCATTAGATATAGACTTCTACTCTGAGATAAACTCAGTATGTAAATTAATCATATGTGCTTATAACATACAGTTATGAATTAGTGAATTGTATATACTTATCTTGATTTCATTCTCATAAAGCACATGACATATTGTAGAGTCCAGGACGCGCGTTTCGTCCTATTTGGGACTCGTCAGCTGCATGTACCTGCATATATGCCAATTACAGACTGATAAATTGCAGTCTTAAACCTCAATGGGAAGATACAAGCCAGACAATACCAAGTGAATTTAAATTCACCCCATCGCACAAGCAAGTGGCTATCAGGACTCAGTGGCTGAGTAAATAACGCGATGGCGTTTGAAGCGAATGGTACTGGGTTCGAGTCCCAGAGTGAACATCAACTTGGACGTGCAGTTACATCCAGCTGAAGAGTCCCAAATAGGTCGAAACGCGCTTTAACCTGGATTCTATTGCTAGCCATTATCCATCATCGCATACAAAAAGCTTGTGAATTAAGGCAATATCGACTGATCAATTGCAGTCTTAAACCTCAATGGGAAGATACAAGCCAAACAATACTACATAACATGTCATTGAAAATTATATCGGTAGTAATGCACGAAATATTGGTACTGTTTTGAATTTTGTTATTTTCTTTGCATTACTATTACTGTTACTACCAATTTGATTGTAATCAATGATTTATATATAAATTGTCAAGTTTCAGTTATATTTTGTGTTAATTTCGGATTAAAAATCTTCGTTTTTTTCAGCGTCAGATTGAAGATCTTCTCGAACGTGTACATAATGTTCAAGAGTCCGTTATTAGTAAATCAAGCGGATTTTCTAATTCAATGTGTCTTTCAAATATTAATCCTTCACTTATGCAAGAAGTTTATAGAGCATGTGCAAGTTTAGAATCTATGATCGCTTCTTCCTCTCCTTTGTCTCCTGGTCATGCGACTCAAATGGAATCACTTTTACAACGTCTTCGTTTATGTGATACACAGTCGAATACTTCTTCAACTGTAAGTGGTAAAGGATTTAAGGATTCCCAAAAATCGGATCATCAATCTTCTGAGTTGAAAAAGAGTATCACTACTCCGTCTTCCAAAGTTGATGTACAACCTGGATTTAAATCACTTGAAGTGGAACCTGATAGGTTAGTTAAGCATTTTTATACAGCAACAATTTTCATTATTGACGGTTAATTATTTGTGTGTGTGTGTGTAAAATTACTTTCTACCGCCCGATGATAATTCATGATTAAAGCTACCGTGGAACTTTATTTTATTTTTGAGGGACCTAATAGATTACATTATTAGTAATAATACTGTTGTCCAGCTGGATAGGTGACAATTGACCTTTTCGAACCATCTTTCATTTTATTCAATTAAACCTCTACTTTACAAATATTAGCCTCGAAATCAGAACTTTATAGTTTAATGAAATGCATTGTTTTTATAGCTGAATTTCTTTCAGCAGTAAATAGGATTTCACCAAACCAATCAATTTAAAAACATCACACTTTCAATTGTAGACTACAGTTATCATAACCGAGCTGTATGTTCCCTTCCACTATGCTACATTTCAATATTCAATAACTCTTTGACTTCATGTCATATCTTTGTTTGGATGTCTTTAACTTCATTTTAACCTAATTTCATCATCAATTATGTTTCCCATTTTACATTGATTTAATATTTCAATAATCTAGTCAAATTCTAGAGTTATATACATATATTTTTTGTTTCCTACTGTGTGTTATAGAACATCTGTATCAAGTACAAGTAGTTCTGGTACTGGTGGTAGTACAGGTACAAGTATGACAAATGAATCTTATTTAGTATCATCTGCAGCTGCAGCTTCTGGAACAACACAAGAACAGCGTAGATTAGCACGTCGACGTGAAAATCTTCTACGTGAATTAATTCAAACTGAACGTCTTTATATACAATCATTAGAACAATGTATAGATACTTATCGTAAAGGTTTAGTATCTCCACCTAAAATGTTAACTGCTCAAGTATGTATTATTTAGTTAAATTTGTTTTGTTATTGTTTTCAACCATCTATATATATTCCTTTTTTTTTTCTCGTAAAATGTTTTATTCACAACATTCAATTATCAAGTTTAGTTCTACTGTTAGTTGTTATTTTTCAATTTCTGCAATCGATGAATACATCCCTATCTTTTTTTGTACAGAGGACTCTGTATATGAGTCAGAATGTTATTTAAGTAGTAGTTGAAGTTGATCTACTGCTAGTCATTAATTGCCTGTCAATACAAATTTCTTAAAACCAGTTTTAGAGATATTAGAGTTATTCCTAGACTGTTTGACCTATTTATAAGTAGACAAGTTATAAATTTCTAGTGTAGTTATGCCTACGAATAATAATACTAATAATAAATATACTCCCTTATTCAGTCTTATTTGAATAACTTTTATGAATTATTTAACACATTACTAAGCTAGTAACCACCCTTAATTTGTGTTTTATTTTGGGAGTGGTGTAATTTAATTTTTGTTATTTATCTGTTTGATGAAATACATCATACATTGTGAATTTCCACATGAAAAATTATTCAATCGTCTACCGTTATCTTGTAATATAGGCGAGGTTTTAGTTACTTACTTACTTACTTACACCTGTTACTCCTAATGGAGCATAAGCCGCCGACCAGCATTCTCCAACCCACTCTGTCCTGGGCCTTCTTTTCTAGTTCCATCCAATTGCTGTTCATTTTTCTCATGTCTATCTTCATTTCTCGGCGTAATGTGTTCTTTGGTCTTCCACACCTCCTTCGGCCTTGAAGATTTCATTGTGAGGGCTTGTCTTGTGACACAGTTGGGTACTTTCCTCAATGTGTGTCCTATCCAATTCTAGCGCTTCTTTCTGATTTCTTCCTCCACTGGGATCTGACTTGTTCTCTCACATAATAGGTTGTTGTTGATAGTATCTGGCCAACGTATCGGAAGTATTTTGCGTAGACAACAGTTAATTAGTTAATCATAATCAGTGTTAGGAGAAGTACTCTCTCAGCAGCTCCATATGTATATATCCCTGTTGCTTTTTATCTTTTTTTTTCCATCAATTTCTATAGACGTTTTCCTCTAAAAAAAGCATTCACTAATATTCTTAAATCTTTTATTCTCTTCTTTCACCATTCTTATCTCATGCTTATTTTAGGTTCCATCTGGGCTTATTGGTCAAGTGGATACTGTATTTGGTAATATACCTCTTATATATGAATTTCATAAACAAACATTTGAACCAGAACTAGCTAAATACACTGAAAGTGGAGATTTCTTACCAGAAGATGTTGGACATTGTTTTGTTGTGCATAGTGATCGATTAGCTGAATTATATGTAGAATATTGTGTAAATAATACTGAATCTACTAGGTTAATTATTGAGCATGGACAAAGTTATTTTCAATCTTTACAAGTGAGTGGTAGTTCATGAGTTGTTTTGTTTTTTTTGTATCACTTAGTTGTTATTTACTTTTTTCAAGAAACTTATATCTCTGGATAGAAGCTAATCACTTTACGAATTTTATGTTTCAGTAGTAATACCTGAGTCTGAGTAAATCACAAATGTATTTGTAGGTTACTTAAACAGGATACACAAACAGTATTCTTGATATATAAAACTGTAAAGTTCTTAGACAAGTTTATTTAATTTAATTTACACTAGTTTGATCTCTAACTGTTTTATATTTTCAAGGGAATTCTGTGTATTATCTTATCAGGGTCTCTAAAATTGAACTGTTTGACAATTAATTAATTTGAATGGTTGAGATCATGAATCAATTGAAGCTAGACCACCATGAAAAACCTGGATGACTTTTTCGTCCTATTGTTGGGATTCTTCAATAGTGCGCATCTACGATCTTACTTTATGTCTCAGTGGGTATATTCCTTTTAATTAATGAATTGGAGACTGGATGTTCTTTTTTTTAAAGAATAAATTTATTTAATCTATGTCAAAATGTATTTAACAGTTTTTTATTGATAGCTCCGAATTAAACTTTTATTATATGTAAATTCAACCATCAATGTTACGCTATGAAATTTCACAAGTAAAAATTTTTAAGTTGTTAGTTCATTATCTTTTTGTGTTCACACGTTTAGTGACTGTTTTCACCGAATGGTTTGGCTTAGCTATGGTCATGCGTCAATTGAGATTTTGTTAACTGGTGCACTTGTTGTCCTCATATCAAAGATGGAACTTAAGAGAAATCATCTTTAAAAATAACACACTTCACCTTGCCCATTAAATTTCCATCAAGAAGTGCAAGATCTGAAAAGGACAATGCCAATACATTTCAAGCTGATCACCAAAAGTTTCTGTGACTAGCCTCAAGTTTTTTTTCAGGTTTAAAACATATTAAGGCTGCAGAAATAAACCATCTATCATAGTTAATGCCATAAATGATTGGTTAATGCTTATCAAAGAGTACTCGTGTTTTTTTCTTTCGGGGATACGAATCTATTCACTGTAGTTCCATCAACAATCATGAAAGTATTTCTGAATTCTCTTTCTGTCAATAATATTTTAAATCGTAATGTAACTTGGCGATACTACCAACTAGCTAGCTGTTTAAAGTAATGTAGTTGAAGCCAAGGCTGTAACCTATACCTACACATTAAAAACCAACTACCACTCCCTCTTGTGGTAAAACATTGCAATATGTATTGTTATTATTATGTCAAAGTAAACAATTTCATTCAATGATCAGATTGTATAATGTTGACCTATAAGTGTTTCTGTTTCATAATCATTTGTAGAATTCTAAATGATTTCAATATATAGAAGTGCTAACATTATTATTATTATTATTATTATTATTGTTATTATTATTATTATTATTATTTCAACACATAAATATTGGTACAGGGGGGCACCAAATATATATGCGCCACACAAAACAATGATAATTTGAAGAGAAGGAGAAAAGAGAAAACAAAAAAAAGTAATGAACATGGGGAATTATAAAAAAAAAGGGAGAGAGAGAGAACAATGGTGGGGAAACGGAAAGGTACAATCAGAAGAGATCTTTCAGTTAAGGAAGATACAACCACTTTTTATCAAGAAAGTAAAAGAAGGTTACAGCAGGATCGCCACTGGCTTCTATTCTGAGCCATATCTGATAACGTCTCTAGCCACTGCGTTACACCGTCTTTCGGACCCCAACCAGGGAGTCGTGAAGGACCAACAGAAGCTAGCCCTTTACAGCTTTCTTTCATACCACGACACCATGTCATATACTGACCACCGAAGTGCTAACATCTTAATTCCATTTACTTATTTCCCTATTTTACTCATCTTTTCTTTCCAATAGTTATATTTCAATCTTGTTGAACCTTTACAATCATATCTTATTAAACCGGTTCAACGTGTTACTAAATATCAGTTGTTATTACGTGAATTACGCGATTGTTGTGATCCAGCTGGAATTGGTGAAATTAGTGAAGGTCTAGAAGCTATGCTTAATGTACCGAAACGTGCTAATGATGCATTGCATTTAAGTATGCTACAGGTAAATTTGATATAATCTTATTAAAATAAAGTAAATAAATGTTTTTTTCGGTTAATAAAAAAATCAATATAATGAAAGAAGCACAAAACGCATTTCTTTTTTTCGTTCAATAATGTTTGATTTCATATTGGGATTTAAATATGTAACATGCCAACGGTTGTCCATTGATTGCGGACAATTACTTGTTTAGATATATTTTGATTGAAGTGATTGCTTCGGTCTAAGTTTTCACAACGCATCAATATGCCAAGATGAAATTATCATGATTCATCAGTCAGTAGTCAGTAACAACGTGGAACTTCGTACGTACGTACATTAGTTCGAGTTGCCATACCACATTAGCACAGAGATTCATAATAAATTTGCGGTAGTATCAGGGGTTGTGAAAATAGATTAGGTGTAAAGAAAATGATTTGAGATGTTATTTTCTGAATGAGTAGTACACATTATTTTTAAATTTATTTCATTTATTTATTTGAACACATAGATATTGGTAGAAGGGGACACCAAATACATGTGCGCCAAACAAATCTCATTTAGTTTGTGCGAATGCTGTGATACTGCCCGGGTGCCTAAACCGAAATCAGTGGTTTAATTAGGAGGTCACACCCGGAGCCTTCGATCTAAAGGTCTGATCCACAAGGAAGTGGAGCATCGTGGTAGCCGGTGACCAACGATTGGTACATACGCCATTTGTTCCCTCAGGATACTGGAGCTCATGTGCACCATTGGTTTGGGATCCGGTAAAACTCCGGACATTCGCCTTTCTTCCTCTCATTTCCGTAGACAACACCCGTGGCGCGAAAAGACAGTGAGTAGGACTTCCCTGGCAGAGACTATATACGCGTGACCATGTGAGAGCATTTGGAGAGGGAGAGCGGACTCTCCACTCTCGGCTGTACTCAATATTTTCGGAAAACTATGGGTCTGCGATTGCGACCAATTCTTAATCATATAATGTATTATTTTTAAACATTGGTCATGATAATCAGCTGGATTCTGACCAAATTGTACATTTCTATTAAAATGACTCAAATTAATAGTCAATAACTTTTTGGATCGATGTTACGTTTTGATTTAGACATGAATGTTCACCGCAAGACGTTTTCCAAATACACTATTAACTTCATTTACTTTATGCTATATTTTAATCATCATATTTATCAAGTTGTTTGTACGGTGTGATTTTTCCTTTTTTTTCAGAATCTTCCAGAAGATGTTCCTCTCTCATCTTTAGGTGATGTAATTTTACAAGATCAGTTCACTATTTGGGAACCGAAACAATTGATTAAGAAAAGTCGTGAACGACGAGTATTTCTTTTTGATCATTGTTTAATATTGGCCAAAGAAGCGACTAATCAACCAGGTGAACATAAATCCAAGTAAGTGATGTGATATGCTTTACACAATTTATTTTTTGGGATTGTCCTTAAAAGAATGCTTGTTCAGTTTATTATCTATAGGATATACAAGATCTACATTTTCTTGTTTTATCCAAAGAATCTAACCTTCTTCATTTTCATGTAATGAGTTTGTAGAGCTTATGCAATTTTTTTAGTTAGACAACTATCAACGACCAGGAAAAATTGGAGAGCTGTTTGTTCATACTACGAAACTCTTCGCTAATGCATAAAGAATTTAATCCTGGAAGTTCAGATCTCTTGCTGAACTAACGTTTTGACCACAGTTGGCAACTGATGATTTACATTTTATCGATATACATATTTTTTATAATACATTGTCACGTTTTCTATCGATCTAATTGATAAGCAGTCAAAACGTTTTGTATGAATATGTCGATTAAATAAACATGTTTGGTTTAAAGCTTTTTTATTTCACTGGATTAAGTTGATGATTATCCGTCAATCTATACAACTAATAATTTTTCTGATTTACAATTACTATTTGAGGAGATTTTTGATATTTTAACTGGAAGCTGTGATTCCTGGAGTTCTGTTTTGTTAAGCATCGGACGGGTATCGCCACTGGTAATAGATGGTAATCGTGCAATATCCCTAATTTAGTCATAATAACAATCGCTAGTCCATTAAAGTTAAATCTTTTCTCAATTCCTAAAGGTTCTTGGATTAGATTCACTAGTGAGGTTGTGGGTACTCACTAATTAATCCCATTCTAGAACGAAACAATTGTCTAATGCTTGTTCATTTTGAACAGTTATCTAGTTAGTATCAACTTGTAATGTAGATTAAGAATCGAACAATTTCCGTATAACTAGCGTGATATATAAAGCTTTTTTTAATATTCTTAAGTCAGGTTTTGTGTTGTCATTTCAAATTCACCAGTTTATTCATTTGTATGTATATATATGTGCTTTTTCCAAAAGGTATATTTATAAATCACGGCTATTATTAGCTGATTGTAATATTACTGAACATATCGAAGGCGATCAATGTAAATTTGCTCTATGGACTGGTCGTATTCCACCGATTCATGAATATCGTATGGTATTAAAAGCTGGTACACTTGAATTGAAACAAGTAAGTATGTTTGTTTTGAAAACGGAGTCATTCAACCGATCAGTAGAAGCAGTATGTGTAATGAATTCCCTTTTTTTGAATAATTATTTAATTTCAATGGTTAAGATCATGAGTCAGTTGAAGCTAGACCACCATGGAAAACCTGGAAGCACTGTACGGCCGTTTTAACTGACTCATGATCTTAACCATTGAAATTACTATAATATCCACAAAACCCATCTGATATTAATCAACATATGCTCACTAGTGACTGGCTTCAAGAGGTATATCCTGGAGTTCTAGTGAGAAGTAGTGACCAGGGAGTTCAACCAGGTCAGTTGTGGAATAGTAACTCACTAAAGATGGTGGATGTGTCGCTCAATTTCGTGGATTAGTTAAAGTTAGACATTAATACTGTTGGATGCCGACCGACTCAGCGGTGTAGTGGTTAAGTGCTCGCGTGTGAAACCAGTAAGTTCTGGGTTCGAGTATAACAGGGGACGAGGTCGTGGATGCGAACTCCTGAAGAGTCCCACAATAGGACGAAACGGTCGTCTAGTGCTTCCAGGTTTTCCATGGTGTTCTGGCTTCAACTGACTCATGATCTTAACCATTGAAATTACTATAATATCCACAAAACCCATCTGATTTTAATTATTTAACTTTTAAAAATATTTTAATTACGTGACAACAACTGCTACAATCTATGCAATCTGGTATTTGAAGACGCATAGCGTTTATTTTGTATAGGTTTATATTTTCCTACTTTGAAACTACAAAGTGAACTATTGGTTACGTATTTTCGGAAATCAAATAGTGACAACGGTCAATACATGTTAGACAAAATTTCAGTACATATACAAAATGTCTTTTTGACATATGTTAAATCACATTACTTGTATTATAGATTTTACTTACATACAATTAAATTTGTTCTGTAATATTTCACTTAAGTACTAACCATCCAGGAGACTTTTTTTAGATTACAAGTATTTATTCTTAGGTTGACTCAAGGTATCGGCTGCATACACCCTAATGTTTAAGCATACAATGCCTCGTTAAGGTAGGAGTAGTAGAATTATTTATGCTGTTGATAACATTGACAGATGAAAGTAATTGGAACGTGTGCAATACATACTCGTTTGTATAACTTATCTTGGATTCGGTGATCTGGTTTTCAAGGGAATACTTTTAAAGAGGTTTAAAAATGATCCAGTCTATATATAATTATCAACAATTGCTCTGAACCATATCGAAAGTGAAAATATTTGAGCTGGGATCAAAGAGCTAATCTTAATTTGTGCGTTATTGTTAGTGAATGATATAAGATTCTTTACATCCGAGACATTTTTAAATCCTTGTTTTTTTTGCTTAAATATTTTCTTCTTTTAAGAATTGGGTTCGTGCTTTACGTGAAGTGATGCGTGAACGTGTATTCAGTGTACAAAGTTTATATCAACATCAAAATCCAAATGCGAATTCAACAAATTTATTTGATGATTCTACTGAAACTTTGGATACTTTCTATATCCTTGAAAATTATCAGGTGAGTTTTTTCTCCCGGTTCAGTATTATAATCATATGTAGAAATGTCCACTAGTATTGAAATTCATTATTTTCTTATTTGGATCAAGTGTGAATAGATCAGTTGTTCATAAAAATGGAAAGTAGGGATAGTCAGTTAGGCACATATCTACATTGGTCCAGGTTGTCACATTTCATTAGCGCAACAACATGAACACCGGATTCATATACGTAATATATAAAAGACCGATTGTATATAAGGACATAGTACAGGAAAAAAGAATTAGTTGGTAGAAAGAAAGATATAATGCAATTTTAATCTCATAGTTTAAGGGAAGATAAAGAGTGTATACACCTACACCATTGTGATCGATTCTAAGCCATGTCACCAAGAGTCTCCAATCATTGATTACGATAGTCACACGTACGGCAACCAAGTAGTTTGCATCTACCAACATGGCTCAGACTAGAATTTAGTGACTTTGACCAATGTAGAATAGGTTATATACAGTAGTATCCTGTTATTCAAGTGTTTTGGCTTGTTATTTGAATTAATATTTTTATTGATAATTAACTTCTTCGTAAGTTTGAATAATAACAGTAACATTGACATAGTGTCTTTTTAACGTGTGATCTCAAATCCATTTCTTATTTACGGGTTTCATCTTTCGTTCTAACTAACTTCGGTAGGTTTCAGTTTCCTGTTGATTAATTCATTCATTCCTCCATTCTTTTGACAAACTATTCTAAGCTTAAAACGATAAGAAGTGATGAAATAATATCTTATATCTTGAAATTCATGTGTTTCGATGTCGGAACAACTTTAAGACTAAGTAAAGAATCGAAATATTTCTCTAGTCTCTATGTGTGTAAGAGCGATATGTTTTTAATGATTTAAGAGTGTATAAACTATAGTTAAAACATTATTTTAGTGTTTCTGCATGGATCGGATTAGGTTTCATCTTATCAACTATTCAATTTTGTGAAAGTAGTTTGGTAAAGACCTTTAGCTAGGCCAAACTTATTCGTTTTAGGGAACGTTTAAACTACTGTCGATCACTAGGAAAGTTTTGACTAACGTTTTAGTTGAAAGCTTAATTTATATGAAAGCTAATGAATTTATCTTGTTTCTATTTCTAGAAAATCACATCTCAATGGTAATTCTTTTTGTAATGATACTGATATTACCCCTTCTATCCTGGGACTTGGCCTAACAACTTCATCTCTCTGTGCTAATGAGGTTTGGCAACGTGAACTGATATACATACGAACAAGTTCTACGTTGTGACTGATTGACTGATCGACACTTATAATTTGATCAATAATTTGACAGTATTTGATGTACTTTGATTCTAATTGGCTACATGGGGCAGAGAAGCCTTTTGGCTTTATATGTGTTTCGCGTAGCCATCAACACCTTAGTGATAACGTTTACTGATAACTGCAGAGATGCACTTTGAATTTGTTTTCAAATTTCATTTGTTGAAACGCCTCTTTAATACAACTGTCACACTATTGTAAACTCGTATCTCTGAGACTAGTTGTTTCATATGCGTGGAAGTCTCTTAGTTTATGTTTTTTAAGATGTAGTCAACGATATATTTTATAATTCTTATTTTTAGGCTGAAAAGGATAATGAAATTTCTGTATCAGCACACCAAATTGTTCAATTATTGCACCGATGCGATGAACCAATTCTACCTTCTACTGAAAATAACGATAACGAGAGTAGTAATAGTAGTATTGTAAAATATGATCCAAACGGTACTGGGGATTGGGCTTTCATTCGTATCATTGTGCGTAATACAACTACATCAACTAATTCACCAACTAGAGAAGGTTTTATTCCATCACGTCTTATTGGAGCACCTTGTAGTCGTAAATCTTCTACATCAAGTTCACGACAGTCATCAAGTGTGCGGCGTGGAAGTACATCTGTTCGAAAATGGTTACCTTCCGGAGTCGGTACTGGTCGTCGTAGTACAGGTGCTTCAGCTAACAATGCTGGTGTAACTCCTGGTAAACGTGGATCGAAAGTGGATATTAGTCAATCTCAGGTATGTATATTTGATAATATTAAATGAATTGGAACTATCCTGTTCATTACATATATAAAAGAAAGAAATTGTGCAATAACATAATAGCTACTTATGAGTAGTATTATGAATAGTAGATTCACAGTTCTCTTAGTTTTTTTATTATTAAACATCATTTATTTTTCTCTCTCCATTTTCTCATGGTAATCAGAATCACATCTCACTTTCTGTACTTTTTTTACAATATCATTTTCAGGTACTTAACGCACCTTATCCTGTTACCACATCAAACGCAAATGATCAAACTAATAATGAACAACAACCAAAACCACTTGAAATAGGTGGTTTACTACTGGACAATGTATCTGAAGAAAGTGTCGATGTAGAGTTACCACCACCGATGAATGAAATACAACCTCCACTTCGACCTAATGTACCTGAATTATTAGATACAAAAACGATGAAGGAGGTTGAGAATAGTGGGACTGATTGTGCCGGCGATAATTTCCTGTTGGATGATGTTGCTATAACTAGTAATAATTGTCGATCAGATCTGGCGCAAATCAGTAACAACAGTATTAGTAACAATTCTGAAAATGAAGTTCAACACGAAAAAGTAAGAATATTAATTGTGATTATTGTTGTTTCTTTAAATATTTGATTTAAGAGATACAGTGCACCACATACAACTATGAATCTTCGAAACGTTTAGATTGTATAGTAGATTATTTTCCATAGCAATTTAAACTTATTTTTAATTTATAAAGTTCGAATTTGATGTACAGTGTTTTCTTACCATTCACGTATTAACAGTTATATGTTTATTTGATGAAGGTTCAGCTCTAAATAACATAGAATTTAGCACTTGTGTATCTGTCCAAGTCACTGTGCTGCATCCACATCGTAGTAGTATAAGCGGTAGTGGAACAGGTTTGGCATAGAGGCTCACAATCTAGGGGGAAATAGGACGTGGATAGTTTTATGTCATCGAGACTATTTTTGCATCATGTCATCTAACTCCGCTAATTAAGATAATCACATGAACCCCAACACAGATATTCTGCATCTACCAACACAGCTCAAATCAATACCTCCGTAGACTAATGTCACGTTTCGTTTAGATCTAATCCTACTCCAGCCAACATCATACATCAACGGTGATCCAAAACTTAAACATTTTTATTTAAATGGATACAGAATCTTGATGTTAATTGTCACGCTATACTAATTTTTTTAATTTTTTACAACCACATAATACAGTGTAAAATCTAAAAATCCCTCTATGGAACTCTTTAATATTAGTCTTTATAAAATTTTTATTTGTCATATTATAATGATGCAACTACTTGATTATAGTACATTTTTCTTAGAGTATTCACACTCGAATGAATTGTTATTTATAAACAGTGTTCACTAACACGTAACTTCCAAACTAAATCAGTTAGTAATGAGGAATAATTGTTTAGGTTAGTTCAGATATATGCTATCAGTCAGTCGAAACCAATACAAAGTAATTGATTGAGATCATGAACCGATCGATGTTAGACCGTTAGGCCGTTTCGTCCTATTGTGGGAATTTCCAGCAGTGCGTATCCACGACCCCGTTCTCGGGGTTCGAACCCAGGGATTTCAGTCTCGCGCACGAACGCTTAACCTACTGTACCACTGAGCTGGGGTCCAGTGGTGTTAATGAGGAGTTCCACAGTAGGATGAAATGGCCATCCAGTGCTTCCAGCTTTCCAACAGTGGTCCCAATCAATAACTTAATAATCTCCACAACCCATATACTGAAATACTAATTGGATAGATGAAAACAAAAAATTTGATTATAAATCTAATTATACATTATTACTTAGAGAAAAATATGTTACCACTCATTTATTGAATCAATAGTCAAATCTTAATGACATTAAATAGATTAATTGATAAAGGATAAGAGAGAGAGAATTACTATATGTTATTCTATTCTTCCTGAATCGATTATTCGAAAGATAATATTTAACTCTGTTATAAAACTGAGTGTTTCTAGTTCTGGAAGAGTGCTTCAATTCATTCATAATGAAAAAAGAGGAATGAATCAATATGTCAACCACCATAACCAAATATCGATGAAAACAATGTTGATGTACTTCAAGAAGAACGTGAATATTTAGTGATATAAGAAAAAAACTACAATAAAATATATGTAGTATCAAATAAACTTTGGTGATGTTGATAATAATAATAATAATAATAATAATAATAATAATAATAATAATAATAATAATAATAATGTAACGAGACTTACCCTCCAGAAAAATCATTGTTTGATGAATTTATGTACTGTAAATGATATTTGCATTTCTTTATATTTCAGCTTATTAAAACTGTGCATCGTTTGGCGACTACAGTTGCTGAAGTAGCTGGTGACGGTCAAACACAATTAGGTGATGTTCCACAATTAATTGGTTTACCTGGTGGTGCAAATTTATCTGGTATAGGGAATTTACGTTTACATGGTGGACTTAATGTTGCTACTAAACTTGTTGCCGGTTCATCAAAGTCATCTATACCAATGATTCATTCCACTGCTGGTTCACCAGATTTATCAACTAATAGTACTAGTAGTGCTACTAGTAGTTCACATTTTCTCGGTCAAGATGAAGAACTTTTATTGGATATACTTGAAGAGGGCGTGGAATTACACTTTGTCACTAGGCATCTATTCTTATATGATCATGCTTTGATTATCGCCGATGCAGCTATGGAATTAACCACCACCACCACCACCAGTACACTACCTGAAAATAGTAGTAGCTTGAATGGAAACAAATCACTGAATGATAATAATGAACAATATAAACCGAAATTACAGTGTCGATTTCGACATGCATTACCTATTAGTCAGATATCAGTTTTGGTAAGTAAGCAAGGAGGTATTTATTTAGTTTTCTGATTATCTTTTATAAATTTTAATCGTTTTTATACAATTATTACCAATTATAACATAATTATTGGTCCGTTTACTAATGTACTATTATTAATCATTATACAGTTAATATTTGTTTTGTAATGTAAGGCACACAAGTAAGTGTATATGTGGTTGTTATGCTGCGTTGGGATTCGTACAATGGTACAAAGGAAACGTAGTAGCTGTGGTCCGATTCGTACACTATTTTACTTGTTGTTTCAAAGTTCTCCATACTTTGTGATGGAAAGTGAACTTTCCAAGCATATGACTAATTGTGTATTTAAGGCACTGTCTGGTTGAACTACAATTCACCAACACCAGATATACACCTCTTCACCTATTGTCAAATTACACTGGACTACTTTCCTGGACGCTATGGGTAGCCGAATATCATACCATTTTCTCCTGCTGGTTCCGGCTTATTTATAAATCAGCCATACATAATCCACTAATTCACATTGATTATTTTTTTAAAGATGCGTTATGCTGAAAATTTGTTAGATAAACACTTGAAGTTCTCCAACTTTTCACTGACCACGATGATTATCATCTTTCTTTTGTATTTTAGGAGGACGTTGGAGTCGGTGGTTCACGTCCTACTGGTGATCAATTGTTATGGTTTTGTTTATCCGAACGAACACGTTATTTAGGTTCACCATTTGAATCGTCAATTGCTGCTGCATCACCGCCTCAATCACATTTATGTTATATTATAGCGCCAAAATCTCCAGATTCTCGTATTCGTTGGTTAAGTGAACTAACATCAATGATATTAGAAGCTAGACGTTTATCTCAAGCATATCTTATGAATAATGCATCTTTTGGTTCTGGTGACCCTAATGGAGGTTGTTCTACAACAACAACAGGTCAAATTAAATTACCTGGAGCAACACTTTATCCTAGTGGTGTGTTATTTGACACAGGTTTGTTGTGTACTTTAGATGGATATATCTCTATCAGTTTTTATCATCATAATATATTATCAACTTACTATTAATAGTAGTTGTAGTAGTATGATGTAGGAGACATACATTTGAAATAACTTCATTAAATCCGAAATTGAAATAAACAACCTATTCATTTATCTATTAAACATTCCTAATGATATCATTGACCAATTTATCGTGAGAAAATTTTAAGTTTCATTATTGTTTCTAATTATTTTGAAGTATTTTAGATTGAACATATTTATCAGTATAGGGTTGTGGAGATTATTAAGTTATTGATTGAGATCTTGAACCGATTGATGTTAAACCACCATTGAAAACCTGGAAGCTCTGGACGGCCGTTTCATTCTATTGTGGGACTCCTCTGCAGTGTGCACCCACAATCCCGCTCGCGGGATTGTTGGACGTAATTACTGTTCGGAATCATTATTGTTAATAATCGTTATTTAACGAATTTGACTGATAATTATAAGTATCTTATATGCATTCGTCAGGTCCTAGAATATAGACACACATTCAGTCACCCCACAATTGTAGTGTTTCTCGACCTTCAATCGGCATTTAACTCTGTTGATCGTGAGGTTCTATGGTAGTGTTTGTCACTGAAAGGAATACCAAGGAAGTACATTAACCTTTTAAAGGCTCTCTATTCGAACACAACTGGTCGTGTGGGAGCTTATGATGAACTGTCATCAGAACTGATTACCTCAAGTGGTGTTCGTCAGGGCTATCCACTCTCTCCATTCTTGTTTAACCTTGTCGTTGACGTGCTTTTAGAAATAACACTTTCCACATCTGACTTTCCAGGGCTCGAACTTCTTCCGGGAAATTCACTTATTGACGTAGAATAATAAATTATCATATTAGTGGTTGTCTATTCAAGATATTGATTGATTGAAGATGAACTCGCACTGACGTTGTCATCCTAAATAAACTAATATACAAAACACAATCATTATTTTATATAAATTTTTTTTTCCAGGTTCTCTAGAACTGCCTAAATCAGGTCGATATAAAATTGTTAATCAAGATTCACTCAAGAATTCAACACGTTATCATCCTACTATATCAGTAGATCAATTATCTTCTGGTATTAGCAATTTAACAATGAATCAATCAATGCTACCTACATGTTCCACATCATCGTTACAACAACCAGGTCCATTGTTACAATCAACAAATTCACATATTGTATGATGTAATTGTTTTTTTCAAAAGTCATAAGTCTTCCGTTTTCTTCTGTCTGTCTGCATATATATTTATATCTCCCAACCTCGCACTCCTCTCTATATCCTGTGTCTCATTTCTTATTCATTTATGTATGTTTTTTTGTCTTATTCAAATGCTATGAATTACCGTCGATAGTGATAAATGATTTATGCCAGTGAACAACTATCTATACATTTCAATTCATATATTCAGACGATGAGAGAGACAGAGTTAATCATGAAACGTATGACATTTATCCTTCTTGATGTTAGTTTTCTTTCTCACGAAAATTTCCTATAAAACCCTACTATATCACTAATAATCGTAATACTACTACTACTACTACTACTACTACTAGTAGTAGTAGTAGTAGTAGTAGTAGTAGTATGAGTGAAATATCCCACAAAAACTATTCCCTTCATTTTTTTTTCTATCAATAATATGTTTTATGTGTATATGTTGTTGTACTGTTCAATGACTCGACAAATTAAATAGGTAACAGTTCGTTTAAAAGAGAGGATACAGTTTGTAGTCCATTCTCTCTCTACGCATAAATACTCAAAAACTTTGTTCATAGTTCTGTATATCATCAATTGTGTTGAAAATCGTAGTCTTATTCTTTTGAATTCATATATTTGACAGTTATGAATGTGTATATGTGTCTGTACCTTACAGTTGTTGTCTCAACATGATATGCATTTCAATTAGTATCGTTAATCATAATATGATTATTGTAACTATTATAAATACTATTTCTGTTCTATTCTGTTCTTTTTATCTCGTTGAATTCTTTCTTTTCCTTACATCTTATTTTCATCGCTTGTTTTATTGTCATTATTGTCTGGCTGACTGCCTGACTGGACTTAATATATCACCTTGTATATATATATATATATATATATATATATATATATATATATATATATATAAACGATATTGGATGACTACCTCGTTGTTTATGTGTGTGTGTGTGCGCGTATGTGTTTAGATGTTGTTGCTTTCACATAACTGAATGATAGGTACAATAGGAACTGATATCTACATTTATAAGTGTAAATGATTTATTCTCCATCATTATTGACAATGTTATTATCATCATCATCATCAATTCTGTCGTTATTTTATTGGTTTTCTTAAAGGAAGCTTCAATTATTATGTGATCAATTATTGGTCACCTTCGATTTTTTTTTCATTTTTCTACTAGTTACCATATTACAATGTGTTGTTTTTTTTTTGTTTTCTTGTTACTAATTAGTAGTATTTATTGTGGAATAATACCCCAATTATATAAGAGGAGAAAGAAGGTAGTTTATATTAGCGTTTGGAAAATTGACAGTGATAATAATACGGACAATTATTAATAAACTGTGATTTTCCATTCGTAATATTAAACAGATTGTGAGTATTAACTTACTAGGTAGGATTCATTTCATTATGTATATACATATATATAATATATATAGTCCAAAATGTAAACACTTACTTATTTCATCACAATATTTCCCTATTCACTTTTATACTACTGATATAACTAATATAGTAGTGACTTTAAGCATTACAAAGAGAATGTTTGTTTGAGTTCTGTTTATTGATTTCTTTGTAAAAATTAACCAGTTTACCTATCTACTACTTTGAATGAATTGTCTACTTTTTATTCTTCATATCTGTATGGTTACTAACATATGCGTGCTGATAGTTAGTTGAAGTGATAAACGATATCACCAAATAAGACATGATTTATGCATTTCAATTTATCGGTTTCTATTTTGTTTGTTTGTTTGTTTGTTTGTTCAGTTTTGATTATTTCCTTCTTTTCTCTTTATTATTCTGCTTTCTATCTATCTTTTTTGGTTACATGTACTGTCAATTTGTTTATTAGGTACCTATTTCTTGCGTTGCATTCTCCTTACATTGAATGAATACTTGATAGTATTCACCTATATTATTTGTTATTATTGATTTTGTTGTTGTTCTTTTTTCTTTTTTGTTTGTTTGTTTCATATTTTGTTCTGTTTTTTTTCTCCAGTTTATTGTAAAACGTTACATCATTTTTCAATAATAATAAAGTTTTTTGTTTTAATGAATTTTTCTCTTTTGCTTTCTCTTTTATATTCATTCAAATCGTCTCAGAAATTTTCTTTTATGCCATCAAATTCATATCCTTTTAGAGATATAGGTATTAGTGTATATCATTTGTAAACTATTCAATTGTAACAATATATTAAACAAATTTATTTATTCTTAGATCATACTTACTTATGCCTGTTACTCCTCGTGAAGGAGCATAGGCCGCTCACCAGCATTCTCCATCCAACCCTGTCCTGGGCAATCCTTTTATTTAAAACAATTGTGTTTAGATTATGCGTTGATACTCCGCCTGGAGTCCCTTTCGGGGGGCTACTGCCGGTCCCAAGCCCGGGTAAATGAGGAGGGTTGGGCATGGGGTTAGCGTCCCCATCCTGTAGAAAACTAACTCGCTAAAAAAACGCTAACCAGAAATAATAACTCAAACCATTTAAACTCTGCCCTTTTAGTTAGAGGTAATATGACGCTTCATGGTGAAAGCCGAGTTCCTTCGGAAGCCACGAGGCCGATGCCCCTTCTAACAACCAGAGCAACAATTTTTATAGGTACATGGAACGTCCGGACAATGTGGGAGACCGGGAAGACCAGTCAAATAGCAACGGAAATGAGGAGATACAACTTGGCAGTACTGGGAATCAGTGAAACCCATTTCTTAGATCATAAATATGAATAAATTTATGATTGAAAATAATATGTTAGACAATCATGTATATTTATTGTTGTTTATTAGTCAATGTGAATACGACTTGTAGAAATTCATTTAATACAATTGTGTTTAGATTATGCGTTGATATAGTTGACAGTGGGGAGAGTCATCCCTCACTCTCGAAATGCTCTCAGATGGCAACGTACATATAATCACTGCCTTCTCGCGGTGGGAGAGGGTGTTTGTTGTTGAGGGGACGGCGCTTTAACCGGGTTGGTGCAAATAGATTTGGAAAATTTTGATTTCAAACCAATGATGCATATGGGCTCAAGTAATTTGAGGGAACAAATAGCGTATGAACCAATCGTTGGTCACTGACTACCGTTGAACTTCATCTCTTGTCGTTGCTCCACCACCTTGTAGATTAGATCTTTAGGTTAAATGCTCGGGGCACCCGGACAATATCCCAGTCTTCACATAAATCGAATGATTTATGTGTCGCATATGTATTTCTTGTACTAGTTTTCATGTGTTCCAATAAATAAATGTCTTGTTACTACATGATATAATATGTTCAAGTCCTCTTATTCAGAGATTATGTAGAACTTTATATAATTACTGAACTGACTCATCATTATAATGTTGTGGTTTTGGCAAATTGTTATTCTTAAGAGAAACGAAACTTTTTCTTAATCATATCAAAGTTTGTGTTGGCATTGGTTTATTGATATTCTGTTTAGAATAGTTTATTCTATTGATCACTACTTCCAGTCAATGTGGTTGAATAAACGGAATGAGAATGTTCACTTTCGGTGCTGTATGTTTGAAATATAGTAATCCTAGCTATTTATTCAATGATATTCACGAATTTACATAATTGGTATGTATACAATGTGAAGAGATATGTATATACAATAGAACATTTACCATGGGATCTCTAACCCCATTTTCAACCCTCCTGCTTTATCCGGGCTTGGGACCGGCAGTAGCCCTCAGAGGGACTGTGGGCAGAGTTTCTATGTACAATAATAGTCATTAAATACAAATCACTCAGATATTCTTTAGTTTTTCATGTAAACTTTTCTTTGAATTTATTATGATCCTTCGATATTTTATTGATTGAAGACTATAACACTTTATGCGTAACATGTAATATATGAAAAGTGTAAGACTGACTAGTGATAGATTAAGTTATATAAATAATTTACTTGTATGCTGTGACTTTTTGATAACTTAATGTACAATGTTGTTTCATCATATAATTTCGACAAGTTCATTGAATTAAAGAATCTGGTTATGTAATCATTATAAATTCTGTTATAATTAACTATAAAATCAATCATAGTAATATTTTCAAAATTGACATCAATGTTACACTAAGTACCACAATCCATACCCATTGGGATGGATTGAATTGTATTATAACTTGTGCCCTATGTCCTAATAATGTATAACGTAATGATACCGCTGATTATAGAACAGAGTCTTATCGAACGCACCGATGGTCCATACGAACAGTCTAGTGTATTTATCACTCCTTCTTCCTGCTTACTCTACCTGTTAAGTCCAGAACATCAATCTCAACCTCTGCGATATGAATCATTATATTTCAAACATACTCGATTTATATACCAACCAAACAGACCACATCGTCCAATAAAATAGAAAATAACATTTGTACAAGATTTAGCCATAAGTGGCTGTGAATATGCGAGACTGCAATTGATACACTGGGCATAGCTCAAAAACAATGAATCCTATGATAATAATAATAATAATAATAATAGTCTATAAGTTAAACTAAAGCTTATAATTTAGAGGAACACGAATATGAATAGTTTAGTTATTGAACAATGATACAATAAAAATATACGTTATAGTATTTGGTCCATAAATGGATTCCAATAGTTACCAGTCATGATTCTCGTTGGGAATATAACAAATTATTACATAAATCATTTGTTGCTTTTAAATGTTTTTTTTTTCTTTCCTGAGAAATTTCAAGTTAATGATAATAGTAATATATAATATAATTTCTATATTAATCGAGTTTAATTGTTCATATCCGGTAGTAGTAGTAAATTATATCTTCCTTGTTATAACCAGTACAATTGATGATAGTGATTATAATGTTTCCCATAATAATGTGAAAAAAAAAGAAGAAATATATTTAATTTATGGTGAAAAACTTTTCATTATTATATTCAATAATTTGAATTATTATTGGTTACAATCTTGTTGGTGCTAGTGGTGTTGGCCAAACCAAAACGTGACATCAATGCTTGAAATCTCACTAAATTCTAGTCTTAGCCCTGTTAGTAGATACAGACTACTTGGTTGGGATCCGCATGACTATCGTAACCAATGGTTGGAGACTATCGGTGACATGGTTCAGAATCGATCATAATGGTGTAGGTGTATACACTCTTTATCTTCCCTTAAACTATGAGATTAAAATCACTTCATATCTTTCTTTCTACAAACTAATTCTTCCTTACTGTACTATGTCCTTATACCACTAGCTGCATAAGTGCTGGTGGTTGCGTGAGTGATGAGATCAATGCACGTATAGTGAAAGCCAGAGCGGCTTATGCCAATCTGGGCCATCTTTGGCGCCTTCG